TTGAAGAATGTTGTTGGTAATTTGATAGGGATTGCATCAAATCTGTATATTGCTTTGGGCAGGATGGCCATTTTGATGATATTAATTCTTCCTAGCCAGGAGCATGGGATGAGTTTCCATTTGTTAGTGTCCTCTTTAATTTCTCTTAAGAGTGTCTTATAGTTTTCAGGGTATAGGCCTTTCACTTTCGTGGTTAGTTTTATTCCTAGGTATTTCATTCTTTTTGATGCAATTGTGAATGGAATTGTTTTCCTGATTTCTCTTCTATTAGTTCATTGTTAGTGTATAGGAAAGGCACAGATTTCTGTGTGTTAATTTTGTATCCTGCAACTTTGCTGTATTCCGATATCAGTTCTAGCAGTTTCAGAGTGGCGTCTTTAGGGATTTTTATGTACAGTATCATGTCATCTGCAAATAGTGACAGTTCGACTTGTTCTTTACCGATCTGGATTCCTTTTATTTCTTTGTTTTGTCTGATTGCCATGGCTAGGACCTCGAGTACTATGTTGAATAACAGTGGGGAGAGTGGGCATTCCTGTCTTTTTCCCGATCTCAGAGGAAAAGCTTTCAGCTTCTCACTGTTCAGTATGATGTTAGCTGTGGGTTTATCATATATGGCCTTTATTATGTTGAGGTATTTGTCCTCTATACCCATTTTGCTGAGAGTTTTTTTCACGAAAGGATGTTGAATTCTGTCGAATGCTTTTTCAGCATCCATTGAGAAGATCATGTGGTTTTTGTCCTTCTTTTTGTTGATGTCATCACGCATTTCCTTTACACTCTCCAAATGCCATGTATCTTGATTATTGAGTTTTTGTGGGTCCTCTTGAATTTTGCACGCAGGCGTGCAAAACTCACTTCACCTTAGAACTGGCCTTGTTGTGGGCCGTGGGCACATTGATGAACTTCTCCAAGCCTCAGTTTCCTCATCTGCAAAATGGGGTTAATAAAGCCCCCTTCCTTCCCTGAGGGTTCCTAGAAATATGTTTACTTCTAGGCTGTGGGGGTTGGGGACCTTCCAGGCTGGCTCTCGGGGAGGGGCGGGGTCAGTCCGCATCAGCCATCGGCTTGGCCAATGGCATGGGGAGGCGGGGCCTGGGAGGCTGGGGCGGAGCGCGGGCTGCCCACAGGGCAAGGACTAGCGGGCCATGGACGAGTCGAGCCTCCTGCGGCGCCGCGGGCTCCAGGTGAGGCCCCTGCGCGGGCGGGCAGAGGGTTCCTCCGAGTCGACCCGGCCTGGATGTTGGGGGCGGGGCTTCGGCGGGCCTGGGAAACTGAGGCGAACCGCGGGGCGCTCCGATCGCTTCCTCTGCCCCCTGGCTTCTCAAAGTGCTTTTTGCCTGGTGGGAAGGGGGTATGCCCCATTTGACATATAGGGAAACTGAGGGTCCAAGCGCTGGCGTGGGAGAAAGGGGCTGAGGGTTTCACCCCTCCCCACAAGCTGCTCTAATAATATGAGCAACTGCAGCCTTTGAGCGCGCACCATATGTTCATTGTTGTATTAACCCTATTACTAGTGATGTATTAATATTAATTAATAGGTATTAATACCTGCCTCATGTCTTCGCTCAGCCACCCCGCCGCTGTCTCAGCTCAGCCCTAAGGCCAGCAGGGGATGTTGGGGCTGACCAGGAGCCCATTTGCGAGATGAGAAAACTGAGTCTGAGAAAGTCACTGATTTGAGGTCACCCAGCAGGGATTCAATCTTGGCACCCTTCACCAGTTCTCTCAGGGCACAAGCCACTGCCAGCTGGTTGTGTGGTCTGGGGCTGGGTTGGGGGAAGGCGGCGGGAGGCACGCTTGCTTCTGTGGGCCTCAGTTTCTCTGTTCGCCGTAAGAGCCCTTTTGTTCTGAGTCTGGCAGCGGGTTTGCATTCAGGAGGTCGCGCCACGAGGAGGTAAGAACATGGGCGTTAGGGCTAGCAGAGACCTACGTTGGGATCCACTAAGGGGCCACGACTCCTTTGACCTCTCTGTGCCTCAGTTTCCCCATCTGTGCAGTTGGGATTAAGACAATATAGCTGTTTCCCTCTGGGTTTAGACCACTCCCTTAAGAAGTCACCAGGTTGCAGGTGGGGAATCTGGGAGTCATGGTTTGCCCAACAAACATCTGAGTGTCTGTTCCTCACCCCCTGGAACCGCCTTCCCGAACCTCCCAGCCTGAGTATCAGTGAGTGACCCACGGAGGAGTAGCCAGCTGTGATGGGGGACGCTCAGGCACAGCTGGAGAAGGCGCCTGAACGAAGAGCTAGCTGCTGGGTCGCCTCAGTGCAGAGGTGTTTGGGGAAATGAGTCTGAGCACAGCTGGAACCTAGAAAGGACTGGGGATAGGGTGGGGCACTGAGGCTGCGAGGGAGGGGAAGGCGCACCTTGAACCCGGGCTGCAGGACTGCGAACTCTTCCGAAGGTGAAGGGGAGCGCCTCTGTTTGGGGGTGAGCGTTTTCAGGGAGGGTGCAGGCAGAGCTGCAGGGCAGAGACCCCCGAGGGCGCGGCGGGGGGTGAGGGAGCAGAAGGGCGGGGCGGAGGCTAGAGACAGAAGTGAGGGACCCCTGGGTATAGAGGAGGGGGCAGGGCAGGACTTGTGAACAGTGGGATGTTTGTTGGGAAACCGGTCCCGCCCAGAACCCCAGTTAGACTCGAACCCCGCCCAAGGCCTCTTAAAATAGAGAAACCGCCTTCGAGTAGTCAAATGGGGGCGCTGCTGACGTCAGAAAGTGGAGCCTGTTTCATGAGAGGAGGTGCCCATTCTGATGACAAGTCCCGGAATACAAAAGGGGAAACTGAGTCTCAGAGAAGCATAGCCACTGTCCAGGTGTCACAGCTTGTAAGTGGCAAGAGTTAGAATTTGAACCCAGGCAGGTCCGGCTCCCCCTCCAGACCAACCCCACACTGGCTGACCTCCATCCATGGGGGCGGAGACACACGAATAGGGATTGCCCAGATGGGTGAGAGCATTCTGGCAGAAGGCACAGCATGTGCAAAGGTACAAAGACATGCAGCCGTGTGTGCTGTATGGGTAACAGAAGCCATTTCTTAGCGCTTGAGCTTGGGGTGTGAGAGGGGACCCGTCTGTTTCCAGGACTGCCAGGGCCGATTTTGGAGAGGTTCGACTTTCTCCCTAGGGTGATTGGGGACTATGGAAGGTGTTGGAACCGAGGAGGACATGCCCTCTCATCTGAGGGCTTTGAAGGGCTCCTCTGGAGCTGGTTGGGGGCAAGATGAGGGGGCCAAAAGCCGGGGAGATGCTTGAAGTAAAGGACCAAGTAGGAGACAATGAAAATAATTTTTTAAAAATACAATTAAGTATAAATAACAATTCATAGTAATGGGCACCTATGAATGCTAAGCACTGTATATGCGTTTAATTCTCCTAACAGTGGGAGAGATATTATTTTTCTTAAGGGAAAACTGAGGCTCATAAAGGGAAACTAACAGCCCGGAAATCAGAGAGCTGGAATTCTACCCGGTGCGGTGCCTCAGGGTGCAAAGATGTTGAGGGCCTGGGTTTGGCCATTAACCACGCACTCCCTCAACTGGAGCCCAGTTGACAGACCCGGAGCGTGGCCAGCCAATCAGATGGCAGCCTGCTGATCACAGCCAATCAGATATCTTGGAGGCTGAGCCTTGATGAAGGTCAAAGAGTCAATTCATAAAAGCTTGAGGAAGCGGAGGGGACGTGAGTCTGGTGCTGATTGGCCAGTCCAGACACTAGCCCTGGGTCTCCTGGTCAATCTGATTGTGGCAGTGTAGGGCACACAGTTGGCTGTGTGCTGGGAGGTCGTAAACAGGACCTGGCCTGGCCCTGTAGGCCACCAGTTTGGGTTGGCTGTGGGTCAGGGCAAGAGGTAGAGACTGGTCAATCCCGGTTTGGGTTAAGGTCAGTCTCCTTGTGTAGCATTTGAGGCACCAGTTACCGTGAGCTGTTATTACTAGGATTATTACTTCTGGTTTTATCATTAGTTTCATCCTCTCCCACTCGGATCTTTGCTTCACGAACTACAGACTTTTAAAACACCAGATCCCCAAACAGAACATCGAGGGCAGAGTAGGTGGCCACAGCCTATGTCTAGATTTGGTCTACGCTGCTTCTGGGGATGCTTCCTGGAAGGTCTGTCATGAATCTTCACAGCCCAGTTCCACTCATTCTCCTCTTCCAGGAAGTCCTACGGCCTGCTAACATCTCTCTCCCTTCTCTCTAGCTGCCTACATTCCATGGAGCTTGGTGCCCATGGGGCCTAGTGTTTCCCACTAGCCTGCGTGCCCAGCCTGACATCTTCCTCTGGGAAGCCTCTGGGCTCCCCATCGTCCAGCTCCTTATCTCCCTCTGGGCACCCACCCCATGCCTCTGGTATGGGGGTGTCCATGCTCTGCTGTCTCTTCCATACTCAGGGTTCTTCAGGGTGGAGCTGAGGTGTCTGGCAGGGAGGTAGCATCCGTCAGCTCAGCCAAGCACAGAAGAGGATACCGTAAATACTGTCTTTAAGGGTGGTTCCAGGGGGTCAGAGCCCCCACCTACCCCTTCTATGTGGGAGCCACTCCCTGCAGAACAGCTGGCAAAGAGGGGGCTGAAGGCAGAAGCAGATGGCACAGGGAGCAGAGGGTCCGGGGGTGGTACTGGGAGAGTTCCATGTTGGCCCAGCTTTACACCGAGCCCTTGCAGGAGGCTCCAACTTCCTTCACCTCTCTCTGCCACTTGACATCTTTTTGTATTGTGGAAGCAAATTAAAAAGTGTGGTTAAATTGGTGGTTATTATTAACCTCACAAAATCATTGTCTTGGCACCAAGGCCCTGAGCTTGGTATTTGATTTCTTCCAGGACCCTATGTAACTGTGCCAGTTTCCAAATAAGGAAACTGAGGCACAGAGCAGTGAAGTCGATGTGGAGGTCACACAGCCCAGGTTGAAGGACAGGGTGGGATTCTGGGAACCCAGAACTGTCAGGACTTTAGAAGGAAAATGACTGGAGTAGGAAAGGGTGTGTGTAGTGGAGAGCCCTAGGTTCAAATCCCAGCTCCCTGTTTTGCAGGTTCGAGAAAAGGGGCAGGGTGGGAGCAGGCATAAGATCCCATAACAATTGGAAAGGGGCAGAAAGAGGCCCTAATGGTGAAAATGGTAGTCCCTGGGTCCATGACCCTTTGCCCTGAATGGTAGTGAGCTCTGCATTTCCAAAGGTATTCAAGCATACAGGGAGACCTTAGGGTGGCAGGTCAGCCTCACCTGCTTGGACCACTCAGTCTTCTGAGCTCAAGGTAGCTGGGGTCTGGCCTTGGGGCAGCGCCCCATTCCGGAGGACTCTCTTCTGCTGCTGGGAGGCCCTGCCAACCTCTCCCAGCACTGGCGTCCTGCGCTCAGCAGCTTCCGGCCCCCTCAGTTGGCTGCGGGGGCTGATGGCGTCACTGGTTGCCATGGCGAACGCCCCACTGCCGAAGTGGGCAGCCTGGAGCCCACCGAAGTAAAAATAGTCCTGTGTCCTTGACGCGACCGCCCTGGCATGTGTTGGGGGTGGGGATGAGGGGAGGGCTGTTCAGAGACCTAGATTCCCTCCCTCTCTCTGCCAAGAGCCAGGGGAAGCTGGCTGCCCTCCGCGCCTCAGTTTCCCTTCCTGTAAAATGGCCCCTGCTCCTGGTGCACAGTAAGCGGCTCTGCGAATGTTAAATTTATCAGGTGGTATGATAGTCCACATAGACCCTTGCTGAGCTCGACAGTAACACAGCAACAGTAATAATGGCTGATGATTATTACCGCAGAACTCTCCTGATTACCTTCAAAACAGATGGGAAAACCGTGAGGCATACAAGTCATTTGTTGGAGGTACCACAACTAGAAAGGAACAGATAATAGATCTGAGTGTCCCCAGATTCTAAATTTGTGCAACATGGCCTTTGGGAGTTAAACCCTCATGGGTGAGCCTTACTTGAGGGTGGACTGTGGTGTCACAGTGGACCCCAAGAACAGTTGCTTTTTACCCTATATATGGTGAGGGCACGCAAGGTTGGTACAGGTCAGCCTGCTGAGTTCTTAAAGAGTCTACAACAGGGAGTCAGCAGTCAGGGCCCCCCAAACCTCCACAGGTGCCCAGGACCCAAACTTGCATAAGCTTTGCAGAGGATGGCTGGAGGGCTGGGGGGTAGTGGGGATGGCTTTCAGATCTGGTGGGGGGCAGGGTGAGGATGACTCAGGAATCTCCCTTTCCTCAACAGATGATTAGTGTTTAGCCACTACTAACCCATTTCTTTTTAATTATAACTAATTTGTTATCTTAAATAATAAAATTGCTTTCCATTTAAGTAGACTATGAGCCCAGCAGGGAGGTAGATTGGGTATCTGGAAGGACTGACAGGAGGAAGGGTGCTTTAAGCTGAGACCTAAAGGATGAGCTGCAATTAACTAGCACTGAGGAAAAAGAAGGTGGTCCTGGCAGGGGACACAGCTGGCATAAAGGCCTTGAGGCAGTGCTGAGCCCAGTATGGGGAATGAGCAGAAAAGAGGCATTGGCTGGACCAGGGTAAGCAATGGGGCAACTGGGAAGACCAGGGGTGTGAAGGGCTTGTCTCCTTGGAAATGACCCCTGTTTTCATCTCATTTCAGAAGGAGCTGAGCCTGCCGCGCCGTGGACGTGGGTGAGTTTACCTAGGGCCTGTCAGCGGGGAGGAGCCTTGGGGTCCTGGGCACAGATATTTCAGCAGCGGCTGCCTCTGAATTGTGAAGTTATTTAATATTTACAACAAAGCTGCCCACCTTGATCCTGCCCCTGGTGTTGGCAAAGTCTCACAGGTTGGGAGGCCTATGTCAAGCTGCAAGTGAGGAAACTGAGGTGCAGGCATGTTGTATCACTGACTCAAGGGCACCCAGCACCAAAGAGGGAAAACTTGTCTGGTGTCCAGAGTCCACATTATAGAATTGCAACCCAGAACCCTGGGACCAGTTTGTATGACTCCCAGAATGGGGAGCTCACTCTCAGGAAACATGGGTAGGAAATTATGTCCTTCAGGGTCATGTTAGCATTCCTGTAGGTTGCCATTTTGGGATCCCAAAAGCTCAAAGAACATTTTGTTCAACACCTTTGCCAGTTTACTGACAGGGAAAGGCCAGGTTGGGGAGGGGTTTGCCTTGTGTTCGTGGTCTGGAGGTGTGTCAGTGCAGACATCCCCTCTTTGGGAACTGAGTCTGCCTGAGTTGGGGGTGGGAATTCTCTTACCCATCAGTGAAAGCACTCACTCAGATTTATTTTTGAGAGCCTACTGTGTGCTCTTATTCTGCACAGGCACAGGGCATACAGCCAAGGCCATCTCTGGGAAGAGTGATGGGAATGTAATATTATGCATAGGGTGAAATGAAACAGAAAGACGGAAGGTGGGGTGGCTTTAGTCCTGAAAATGTGGGGCCTCTTGGAGGAGGTGACATTTGAACCCAGATCTCTAAGAGTTGGAAAAGGTCAGGGAGAAAGTCTGGGGGAAGCATTCCAGGCAGAAAGAAGGACATGGGCAAAGGTCCTGTGGTTTGAACCAGCTTGGTATTGGAAGAACAGCATGGAGACAGGGGTAGCTCTGCTGGAGTGAAGTGAGCACAGACGAGGTGGAGTTGGGAGAGAAGGGGGATGTCCTGGGGTCTGGATGAGAGTTTTAAATCTGCTGGAGGGGGTGGGATCAGAGTGGCCCCCAAGCCCAGACCATCTAATCTCTGACTGGGGATGGTGCAGCTGGTGGGAGGGGCGTGAGGGCCCCAGTGGGGGCGGGGCTTGCATTTTGATCGCCCGCACTGTTCCCGGGCTTTGCCCAGGCTGGGGCGGGGTGGTGGACAGTGAATCAGTAGGGCCCACGAAAGGCAAAGTCCCGGGCCACGGGGTAGAACGAGGACAAAAACACCCTGAGGATGATCTGCTCTCTGCCACCTGCCGTGTGCGTGATTTTGGTTTTCCAGGGGGCCTAAGGCAGACAGCCCAGACCCTAGAGGTCCGGGCTGGGCAGGAGTGGGGGGGCCTCGATGCGCCCTGGGTCTGTGTAGGCACGGCTTCGTGGAGGAGGGGCCGATGGGGGCTGAACTCGGATGTGGGTGAGGGGGACAACGCCCCTGGCTGAGGGAACTGATGGAGCGAAGGCCTAAAGGCGTAGCAGGAGCCTCCGGTGAGCTCCGGAATGCCGAGACCCGCCGCGAAGGGCCACGGTCGCCGAGCGGAGCGGCTGGGCTGGGGTTAGGGGCGGGTGCGCTCAGATCCGGGATCCGGAAGACCCCCAGGGCAGGCAGAGGGCAGAGGCCAGGAAGAAGCCAGGCGGGACGCGGCCAGACGATGGAGCAATAATTCTGGCCGAGGAGACAGTGACCGCCCTTCCTTTCGGGCCACGCAGCCGGGGTGCCCGAAAGGACCAGGCAGCCTCGGCGTCCCTGCGGGGCAGAGGGTCGCACCGGCTGCTGCTGCCTCCCGCAACTCAACCTCGCCCGCCGGGCCGGGCCGGCCCGCGCGCAGGTGCAGGGCTCCGAGTCCCGCCCCGAGGCGGAAAGAGCCCGCCCCCCGCCCCCCGGCGGCCCAGCCTCCGCACCGCGTCCGCCTCTCGCGCCGCGCCAGCCTGACGTGCTGTCCCCACGTTCGCGTCTGTCGGATCGCGCCACGATCGGGGCTTTGGGGCCACGAAGGGGGCGTCTGAACCTGGCCACGTAGACGTGGCCCCGGCCTCGGTATGAAGTCCCGCCGGGACAAACTGCACATCCCGGCGCTAACCCTCGAGTGAGTGCTTGGCTGGGGAAGGTGGGGGGAATTGTGGGGAAGAGGGAAGCTGACAGCTGCCCTTTGCTGCATCTCTGTTCGTACCGCCGCCTCTGAGGAGCCCTCCCGGGTCATCAGTCTGGCCCCGCCCCCGCGGCCTGCGAGAGACCCAGAATCCTGTGCCTTGGGCCGCTTCTCCCTAAGGGAACCGCAGCCCTGGTCTGGTCTTTGGATTGGACCATGCGCAGGGGCCACTGTCAGGTTCACCGTCCCCGGCCTCTTTCTTTTCAGTCTGTCTCCAAGCAGCCAGAGCCCGTCCTTGCTGAGCCCCAGCAGCCCCTGCAGCCCTTGCAGCCCCTCGCTGGGCCTGCATCCCTGGAGGTAAGTGACAGCCTGCAGGGGCGGGGCTTGGACATTGGCCTGCCACCCCAGACCCCTGGAAGCTGCGCAGACCCGGCTCTCTCCACAAGGTACTGTGGGCTAGTGATGTAACCACTCTGGGCCTCGGTTTACCTCTCCATAGAATGGTGCTGTGATCGCACTAGGGCTGTGATGGGGAAATTACATTTTTAGCCATAGTTAGCAGGTCCCCTGTTCGACAGGTTGCCAAGGCGAGGTCGGAACTTGAGCTGTTGCCCAAGGACATCCCTAAGACAGGTGTTGGGTTCCCAGCCTGCTCAGCACCCTCCCTGCTGAATCAGCCTGGCCTCCCAGGCTGTGACCTCAGGGACCCTCCCCACACCCAGGTCAGCTCTCCAGAAAGCTCCTCCCTGGGAATGCACACACACCACGGGCTGAGAGTCCACATCATAAGATCCCAACTCACTGAGCTCAACCCAGCAGACTGGCGCAGGAAGAAAGGAACCAGCCTGAGGGGGTGCCGATTCTATACCATGTGCCTTCTGTACACCGCCCCCCCCAACTTTTAGCAGCCCTGGGAGCAAGGCACCCTTTCTCGCCCCATTTCCCAGCTGTGGAAACTGAGGCTCAGAGAGGAGAGGCCAATTCTCCCAGTTTATTAGTATGTCTGGGGGCCAGGTATCAAGGCCAGCCCGGCTACCAGAGCCTTGAGGGCTTGAGCCACCCTTTGATGGGTGGTTCTCAGTGTCCTGCCCCCATACAACTGGGAAACCAGGGTTAATATGAGCTGCTCCTTGAACAGCTTGGTCAAAAGTTCAGGAAGGGATAGATGTATCAGTTGTTTACATCTTAGTATGAATGAGCTGCCCAGACTCTTCCCACAGTCCTTTAATGGGGAGAAAAGAGAACAATTTGAAGACCACACTGGGTGCTAGGCAACAGGGACAGAGCTTCATTAAATAGGCACCTACTGAGTACCAAGTGCTAAGAACACAGTTCTTCCCTCATGGGGCTCTCAGTGAGAGGTGGGCAACCATCAAGTGAATGGACTACCAAGATACATTCACAAGGGGACCTCTTGGGGTAGGTTGCTCTTGAGCCAAGGCCTGGGCGGGGCCAGGGGAAGAGAGGCTCCAGGCAGAGAACTGCACATGCACAGATCCTGAGGCAGGCCTGCGGTTTTTTTTTAAAGTCTCTTATGGCTCCCTTGGGGGAACAAAGGTCTGCTGGCACAGGGAACAGAATGGAGGTGGTGGGGACAAGGAGGTGGCTAGTGCAACACCCGGGTAGGTGATGGTGAGACCTGGACCAGGTCTGTCCAGTGGGAGGCAGGGACTGCTGTAGCCCTCCTTTAGTAGAGGAGGAAACTTGGGGCCTCAAGTTTGTTGTCCAGAGGCGCCCTGGGAGACAGCATCAGGCCGGATCCGACTCCGAGTGGTTGGGCTCAACCCCAGGATGAGGAGGGGACCTGTTGAGAGTCGCTTTGCCAGTTTTACTAGGAGGAAATGGATGCAGAGTTTGGGGCCCTAGCTGAGGCCCCTGGGTCCCCACACTCGCCACCAGGGGGCAGCAGAGCCACATCGCCTTGGGCCAGGCAAGGAAACGGGTCCCTGCCTCCCAGCTCCAAGCTCTGGGAAGAAGCCCACATTTGTCCCCTCAGCCTCCAACACGCTGTGGGTCTGGCTCCTGTAACCACCCCGTCTCCTCCTATCCATCTCCCCATCGCTTACCCGACTGTAGCCATATAGCTTCCTGGACTGACAGAACATAAACTGGTCCAGCCTCAGGACCTTTACACTTGCTGCCTCCTCTGCCCAGAGCTTCATTTCATCCTTTTTAAATTTGTTAAGTCCCTATCAAGCCCTTAGATAAGAAGCTTTCCTTGACCTCCCCTATTCAGGACCCCCCAGACCCATTATATCATTATACCTGTCCATTTCTCTCACTGGGACCCCATCATGGCATGATTTCCACATGTCTGTGTGATTATTGGGTTGTTTTGCTCACCCAGAGGTTTGGGAGCCCCTTGAGGACCATATCTGTCCTGGTCATCCTGTATCCTCAGGGCAAGGCCGGAATACAGCTGGTGCTCAGTTAATGCTTGTGGCATGGACAAATGGGAAGTAGGTGGGAGGGCTCTGCCTGTGCTAGTGGTGTTGGGGGTGTTGAAGAAGGTGAGATGGACCCTTGCAGACATGGGGGCCAACAATTTCTTTGGGGGCCTTGAATGCCAAGGACAGGAAGAATTTGGAATTTTCTCCTGAGGACACAAGAGCCACACAGGTTATGGGTTTGGGAGGAGTGTGGGCACACATGGGTAGGTGGGAAAGGATGGGGTGGTCAGACCAACAAGGGGTTGGAAGTATGGATCTGTACACCCACTTGAGGCTTTGCCAGTTAAGATCACTAGCATAAGCAGAGAGGCAAAGCCCGAGTCACAGACAGGGTTGGGATCCAAGCCCTGGGAGTGGGATTCACCCAGGAATTTTGCTGTAAAAGCATTGAGGAGCCACAGAAGGTGTGTGAGAAAGGCAAGGGTGTGATCTGGTGGGCAGTGGGCTGGCACTAGAGGTCAGTGGCTCAGCCAAGCTTTCTGGGAGTCCTTTGCCTTGGCCAGAGGCCCTCTGAATTGTTAGCTACAGCCCTGTTCTGCAGAGGAGGCAACAGGCCAGATGGGCGTAGGAGAAACAGCTGCTGGGGATGCCAGTGCGGTGGGCGTGATGGGGGCATGTAGGCGTTGCAGGGTGTGGCCACAGCTGGGGATGAGGGACAGCTCCTTTACTAACTGTGCAGAAATGTCCCTCCTACCACACATGTAGGGGGTGGTTCATGGGCACAGTATGTCAGCAAATGGTGACACGGGACCATGCCTCCTACCCCATTTGGGTCCCCAGACCTCTGGGACATTGCATTACCCCCACACAGTGGCTCTGTCCCCCTCATGTGTATTAGGCTGAATACCTGAGGGTCATAGGTGACCACTCCCATCCTTTTCTCCATATCTGGCCCCACAGCAAGGCTTGTCCTTTGGCCTTTAAACAAGTCGAGGATCTATACCCACTCTTCTCCACAGCTCTACCCTGGTCCAGGCCTCTGGCACCCTTCCAGACCCTGGCACAGCCCCCTCACTGGTCTCCTACCACCTCCACTCCTGCCCCTTGTTCCTGCTGTAAACCTGTACTCTGTGGAGCCCAAAAGGTTCAGCCCTGTTGGCATATTCCCCTCAGCCCTGTTTCAGGGCCTTTGTATAAGCTGTGCCCACTGCCTGGGATACTCTTTCTCCATGGCCGGTTCCCCTTCCTTCTCAGTGTGTTGGCTGGCTGGACTATCACCTCCTCAGAGAGGCCTCCAAGCTAAAGTTGTCCTTGTCCTTTGCCAGTGTTACCCACTCTGTTCTTTCCTCAATGTAAGTGTTTGAAATTACCTTGTTCATGTCATTGTTTCCTGTTCACTCTCTGCCTCCCCCACCAGACTGGGGGCCCCTAAGGGCAGGAGTTATTTGTGACCTGGTTCCTACTATTTCCCCAGGAGTCAGCACAGAGTACTCAACAAATGTTTGTGGAGTGAATGATGGCCAGATAAGGGTGTTTGAACCTCGGGCCTGGGGTCCTGGAGGCCATTCTTGGGGAGACACAGTAGGTACCTGAGTGTGACTCCGCGCTGGAAAGGACAGGGTGGGAAGGCTGAGACTTGAGAAGCAAAACTGGTGGCAAGAGGAATGGGTAGAATGAGGGTTACATACCAGCAACAGGACCCCTCCATGTCTTAGACTCCTCAGATGTGGGGTCTGGGTTCCAGTATCAGGCATGGGCTGGTTCCTAAAGTAATATGTGGTCTGTGACCATCAGTCACCGTCCCTGACTTCCTGGAGCCATCAGGAGAGGAGATGGTTTTAATTCACTGCCCACTGCGTGAGACATTCCTCCCTCCGTGGTGAATGCCCACTGTACCCCAAGCACTTTCTGTCTCTAATTTTATTCCATTTACAGGAGGTGACACGTGTAGCCGCAGAAACAGGCCGGGAATTTAGCCTAATGCTAACATTCATAAAACGTTTACAGGACACTGTTGTAGGCACCACCTGACATCTAACTCTTGTAATCCTCGAGGTAGCCCAGTTTCCCTCCCATTCTGCACTTGAGAAGACAGGCTTGAGAAGTTAAATCGGGTGTCTGATTCCTGATGAGCCAGGCTCCTGGCCCACCACACAGGCAGAGCATGTTGGGTGTTCTGACTCGGTTGGCCCTCTGTGCCAGTTCAGTGCTGGGACCCCAAGGAGCCCAAGCCTGGGGTGGCAGAGCCAGACAGACACAAGAGAAGGGAAGGAGGGATCCCTCTGAGGGAGAGGACGGTGGATTTTGCTAGGTAGGAAACAGTCTAACAAGTGGAGCCAGTGTGGGCGCGGTAGCGTGAGCTAGGCCAGGCCTCTGGATGGGTCTTGAATGCCGCACGCAGACGCGATTAGCGCCGCAGGAGAGAGGGAAAGGGGGACGTGATCTGATTGACGTTTAGAGAGAAGGGAGCCAAGTTCACCTCCAGACATCCTGGTGCCGCCAACGCCCCGCCTCCGCCGCCCTCGACCGTGGTAACGCCCCGCCCCGCCGCCCGCGGCCCTGGTAACTGGCCGCCCACTCCGACAGGCGGATCCTCCTGCCGCGCTTCCGCGTCGCTCGCCCCGCCCCGCCAGGCCCCGCCAGGCCCCGCCCCCGCCGCGCGCCTGGGAGTGCGTGCTTCCTCCTCGCGCCCCCATCCCCAGCCCCGCGGCGCGCCCCCAGCCGCCCGCTCCGCCGGGCTCCCGGGGCTTCTCTGGCCGCGGAGGTTCGCGCCCCGCCGCCGCCGGCTGCGCCCCAGCGCCTCCCGGGCCGCGGGCGGCGGCGCGGCACAAAGAGAAGGAGCATGTCTGACCCCAGCTACTGGACGGCGGTGGCGGCGCCAGGCCACCGGAGCCGCCTGGCCAAGGGCGCGTTGCTGCAGCGCTCCAAGAGGTAGGCGGCACAGTGCTGGCAAAGGCGCGCCTGGAGGCCGAGCAGACACGAGTTGCTAGAAGCGTGTCCCAGCGGCGTGGAGAGGGCCAGTGAGTTCGGCGATAGGGGGAAGGGAGAGGACACTTTGGGATCGAAGTAGCTGCTGGTGTCCCAGATACCCTCTTTTCGCCCCTGGTTACCCGGACTAGTGGGTCTATACGCCACGGTCACAGCTAGGGTGGTGAAAGAGGCAGCAGAGAATTGGGACTTGAGTTAGGATTCGAACCCGGGGCGGACGTTGGGGGAGCTTCTTGGAAAAACTGAGGCTAGCCTGCCCCTGGGGCCCAGTCAGCAGAAACGTTGGCCCAGAAGCAAATAATTGCACGAGGCTGGCATGCAGGTGGGGGTGTCGGTAGCATAAACCACTGGGTTTAACCCTAAATAAAGCCTAGCTTCCCTTGGACTCTCAGTTTCCCTTTCTGAAAAACAGAGAAGCCAAGTGAGGACTGAGGGCTTTACTGTCTTGGGTTCAAATTTCAGCTCAGCCAATGACAGGCTGTGTGACTCTAGGCAGTCCCTTAATCTCTCTGTGCTTGGGTGTTTCATTGGTGCTGGGTCTGGGAATTCCCAGAGGGGAGCATAGGCAAAGGGCTGGATGGTGGGACCAGCTGCTGAAGGACCTCAAATGCTAATTCCAGGGCTTATACTCTTCTCCCAGATCTTGGGGAGTCACAGAGGGCTTATGGGTGCCTCAGGGATCAGGTACAGTCAGCTGGCCTCAGTCCCCCATGTGCTGCCACATTCTCATCCTCTGTTGTTCCACATGGGTGACTGTTGAACAGTTCAGCACCTTCTCAGGGTCCTGGGCCTCCTCCGGGGAGGGCTGAGCAAATAATGGTGCTCAATAAGTGCTCAGGAAGTAAACAGATGATGCCCAATTCCCAGTTGAGACCTCAATTTGGCTATGCTTTCAAAAAAGCCACGCCTGGGAGCAAGAGGGAAGCAGCCAAGTTTTTCCCAAATGCTGTTGGAGCTGACAAATGATATGGTTGGGAGCAGCCTGGAGTCGAGGATCCAGGTGACAGGCTGGGAGAGGATGTGGTACTGATGGGTGTGTGTGTTGGGGAGAGGGGTTGACAGGAAGTTTTGCAGGAACCTGTGGGTTTCACTTTTGCTTCTGTACCTCAGACTTGAGGACAGTACCTGTGGCTGTTGACATCTGTGGCCTCAGTTTCCTGGGCCAGGAAATGGGTGCAGCTGGTCTCTCCCATCTCTGGGCTTGTTGGGATTGACAAATGGTGGCTTAATTTGCTGGGGAGGCATTGCCTGCTCTCCGAATGTGTGTGCACCAGATTCTGTGAGCATTACGGGGAGACACAGTATTTGTACCTGCCACAGTTTACCCAGTGTCAGGCCCAAAGCTGACAACTGTGTATGGAATCCATGGAACCTTCCCAGCACCTTGCAAAGTATTTCGATGGGGAAACTGAGGCTTAGAGGGGCAGCTGCACATGGACCCATGGACAGGCTGGGCCCCTCCTCCCTGCCTGTCTTGTCGCCTCGGTCTCTCCCATGCCTTGGCCTGCACTGTGCTTTCCTCCTGAGACACCATTCCAGGGTTCCTTGAGGCCCTGAGGTTTCATCTCCTTCCCTGCATGGCTGAGCTGCGTTGGCGGCTCAGGGTATGTGGGCTGATGCACTTGTCAAGCTAGCAGAGCCGTTGCTGGGCGACTGCTCTTGTGGGGGTGCGGGGGATGGTGTCGCTCCCAATTTCTCTCTGCCAGGGTGGGGGCTGGGGCGAAGGTGCAGGTTAGGGAGGCTGCACAGGGCCGGGGGCAGCCTGGCTCATGGATCTGGCAGCCAGGAGGAAGCTGGGATGAAGGGAGGGAAATGCACAGGCACAAGTTTGGTAGAACAGGAAGGACAGAACCAAACTGTGCAAGATGCTGATTCTAGGGTTTTTAAGGGTCAATTGGCATTTTGGGGGCATCTTGGGGAGGGGGTTGCCAAGAGATTTCCTAATGGCCCTGGCAAAGGGTGCATGGAATGGAGTGGAGGCCTGCCTCAGCCCACCTATGGGCTCCGAGCTCCTGTGCCTTATCTGCCAGTGCCCCTGGCAGTAGTCATGGCATGGGCAGAGGCCTGGTGGTGGGACTGTGAACACAGAAGCCTGGGAAGGGGCTCCTGCCTACATGCAGTGTCCACCAGGAGGCTGGAAGTGCTTCATGCCACCACTGATGATACCAATAATCGTTTTAATAATAGGTAGTATTTGTCAAATAGGACTCCCCTCTAGGCTTCAAATGGGCTTAGGCCAGTCAAGGAGTGTGATGAGGGGTGGGGTAGGATGTTTGTACCCAGCCTCCCATTCTGCCCCAAAGTCAGCCACAGCGCCTGACCTCGTGCCCACCCCCTAACAGCTGCCGCAGCGGGAGCCGCAAAAGCCTGACGGTAGGAACGCCCTCACCGACCCTTTCCCGGCCGCTGTCACCACTGTCAGTCCCAACGGGTAAGTGTGGGAGAGAGCAGGTGGGTGCTTGGGTCCTGTCTCCACCTCTGCTGACTCAGTTTGCCCTGTTTCCTCCTCAGCAGGCAACAGCCCCCTGGATAGCCCTCGGAACTTTTCGGCTACATCTGCTGTCAACTTCCCGTTTGCCCGGAGGTGAGTGGTCCTCAACTTTGGGGGATGGTGTCGGCATGACTGCCAAGGGCACTGGCAGGAGCATGCGTTTGGTGGCTGGCTGGGCCTGTCTCCTCATTTGCCTCTTCCCCTCCCTGGCCCCTACCCTGCGGCGGGCTCTCCCTCTGGCTTCTGCCCCTGGCAAACATACGGCGTTCTGCAGCCACATTCCCTGCATAGACAGGTAATTTCAAGGAGCTCCTTGGGGAAGAGGAGGGGATACTGCCCAGTCTAAGAGTCATTAATTCACTAAAAGTCATTAATTCACTCAACAAGATCTGATCTAAGAGTCATTAATTCACTAAAAGTCATTAATTCACTCAACAAGATCTGATGGAGGCACTATGGTGCACCAGGCTCTTAAACATCTACTCATTCAATAACACTTATTGAGAGCCTGCTATGTGCCATGAATGATGCTGGGGCCTGAGGAATGGGAGGCTGCGCTTTGAAGCTCAGGGATTCCTCAGTCTGGTGGGAGCAGCCGGCGTGTACCCCAGCAGCCTCAACTCCGAGGTCACAGCTTTGGTGGGGGATGCACCGGCAGTTGGGGTCAGGGAGGACTTGCGGAGGAGGCATCTGAAGAACAAGGAGAAAATGAGCAGTGGGTTTGCTCACCCTGCATCCCTGTTCTCGGCCTTCCAGAAGGTACTGCCTTCACCCGGGCCAGAACCTGCCAGCCACGGTGTCCGCCCAAAATCCACACGCACCACAGAGGCCATGCCTCTATTCCAACTTCCCCGGTTCTCCTCTCCAGGGCTGACGGCAGAAGATGGTCCCTTGCGTCTCTCCCATCTTCTGGCTATGGAACCAACACGCCCAGCTCCACCGTCTCGGTACCCACAGTCCCACCTTGGCAAGCAGACAGGCGGGTGCGAGGTGGGGTGGGACGGGTCTTTGGTTTTTATCAAGGTATTGGATAGTTGTTTGGTCATCACAAATCCTAGCTGCCCCTTCCATGCCCCATTCTGGGCAACATGGGGGTCCCTGAGAGGACCCAGCGTCAGCCCCAAGGAGTCCCCCATTTGGGGGACACAGACGTCCCCAGCCCAGTTGAGTCTTAGGGCTGCCTAAGGGAACAGGCAGGGAGGGCTTCCCAAAGGAGAGGGCATCAGAGCTGGGGTTTTAAGGGGTGCGAAAGAGCCAGGCAAGAGAGTGTTACCATCTGATGACCAGCACGCACGCTAGGCCTTGATGGGTAATGCTGGGGTCCTGGCTGTGGCGCTGACCGTGAACCTGTGGCTCTGATAACCCCCCCTTGCCAGTCGAACTCATCCTCGCGGGAGCACCTCCACCAGCTTCCTTTCCAGCCGACGCCAGACGAACTCCACTTCCTGTCCAAGCATTTCCGCAGCTCAGAGAGTGTGGCTGACGAGGAGGGCAGCCACCGTTCACCCCGCCTTCGCCCCCGCTCCCGCAGCCTCAGGTAGGACTTGATCCCTGGCCCCAGCCCCAGCTGCTCCCCGGGCTGGATTTGCCTCTGCATGGTGACCCCTCTGGCCCTGACCCTTAGCCCTCCCCTGGGCTGGGTCTTGAGTCCCATGTCACACGCCAACTGTCCCCCTTTCAGCCCGGGTCGCACAACAGGAAACTTCGACAACGAGATTATCATGATGAATCACGTGTACCGGGAGAGGTTCCCCAAGGTGGGCAGTCCGGGGCAGCTGGACTGGCCCTGACTCGTCTCCACATTGCCGTCCATCCATGCACTGTGTCTTCTCGGCTGCATCCCTGCCCTGGACCCATGTCCTGACTTTCCCTGTCTGCCCTAAACCCCCTCCATCTAGGCATGTCGCTTTTTCCCATCCAGTTCCCCACCCCACACCCGTAGGTCACATTTCCTCCCCCCCAACTATCTCTCCTGGCCCCAAATGTGCATGTCATTCCCCAGCCCCATCCAGTGACCAAGTCACCCCCATCTCATCCCCCCGCCCCAGGCCACAGCACAGATGGAGGGCCGTCTGCAGGAGTTCCTGTCTGCCTTTGCTCCTGGCGCCCGGCTGGCACTAGCCGATGGCGTCCTGGGCTTCATCCACCACCAGATTGTCGAGCTGGCCCGCGACTGCCTGGCCAAGTCTGGAGAGGCACTCGTCACTTCCCGCTATTTCCTGGAGATGCAGGAGAAGCTAGAGAGGCTGTTGCAAGACGTGCGTGGTGTTGGGGCATGGTGTCCCCAGGCCAGGCAGGGCAAGGCCCAAGGCCTATGGTGACACCACTACCCCCCTGCCCCCAGGCCCATGAGCGCTCGGACAGTGAGGAGGTCAGCTTCATTGTCCAGCTTGTCCGCAAGCTGCTGATCATCATCTCGAGGCCAGCGAGACTTCTTGAGTGCCTGGTGAGTCTCCACGTACAGCTGGGTGTTGGGTCCTGCCAGAGCTGAGCCTCGGTCCGCTACAGTCCTGAGATTCATGAGACAGTTCCCGTGGGGTGCTGCCAGGCTGGGATGGGCTTCCTTCCCCCAACTGGGGCCAGAAGCTGAGACCCAGGGCAAAAGTTGGAGCCATCTGTGAGGGTGCCGCAGACGGAGCAGCATGTGCAGAGGCATAGGGGGAGAACCAAGCCCCAGTTGACCAGCTCCTCTTTACCCGTAGGAGTTTGACCCTGAGGAGTTTTACCACCTGCTGGAGGCTGCTGAGGGCCAGGCCCGTGAGGGCCAGGGCATCAAGACGGACCTGCCACAGTATATCATCGGGCAGCTGGGCCTGGCTAAGGACCCCCTTGAGGGTGAGCTGGTGTGGGGACAGGACAGAAAGAGCAAACTGAGGAGAGCCCAGGGTCTAGTTGGGATTTGTACCCGTACCCATCTGACTCCGGAGCCCCCACATCGTCCTTCCTGTCTGGCCCTGCCCTCAGCCACCTGCTGGGCCCGCTACAGGAAAAGTGCCCAGGACTCTGGGGTCAGGTGGCTGCGAGGCAGATGCCCTGGTCTGCCAGGGCCTTGGAGCCTCAAGTGCCAAGTTGAGCTGGCCGGGGTGCCAGGAGGACATTATTAGAGTGTCATTCCTGTTGTCCCACACGTTTCCAAAGCACTTCTCCAGTCTCGTCTCACTGTGGCCCAGGAGGGGGACTTGGAGTCAGGGCAGCTCACCACCAGTCCAGTAAGAAAACCCCGAACATCAGAGATGGGGCAGCCAAGGTGCGGTGCTAGGGGAGCCTCGGACCTGGACCTGGCGTGGCCACAGGGTGGTTAAGAGGCTCTGGCAAGAGGCGATGCGAACGCAGCCGTCTTGCTGCCTGTCCTGTAAAGATAATGCAGGTGGCACCGTGGGTGGGCCCGGGTGTCAGAGGAAGCAGGAAGTGCCTGGACAGGTGGTGACTGAGACTGTGGGGGCGGGTTGTCTGCCCAGCACTCTGGGGGGGACCTGCTGAGAGTGGGCGGGATAGATTTGAACACAGGCCTCCCTCTCCCCTAAGACTCTGCCTTCGCATCCAGCCTTACTCTGTGGCCATGAGACACTTGTTTTCATTGCCACCAGCACGGCTCACGTTTACTGACTGCTTATTCCGGGCTGTCCCTCTGCCAAGCCCTGGGGCCAGAAAATAGCAGGCCATGCCCTGAGCTGAGAGGGATGTTAGGGGTCAAGACCCAGAGGGCTCATGTTCCCAGCCCAGAAGCTCGGAGGCAGGATGATGACTGACAGTCGGAGCCTGGGCTTCCCACCGGCCTTTCCTGGAAAGTTCCTCAGTCATTGCTTACTCTGGCCTCCTGGGTTTGGCCAAGACCTGGTTGCAGAAGGGGCTCAATGATGGTGAGCTGGTCAGGGGAGGCACCGGATCCCCAGCCCAGGATGAGCCCTGGAGGCCTTGGGAATCTCTGGGTGATGGAAGGACAGTGCATGGGGGCCCTGATTTGAGGTTCCTCCTTCAACTTGCAGAGGTGGTACCTCTGAGTCACCTTGATGATAGACAGCCCCCAGCACCTGCATCCCCAGAGGTAAGTCACAGAACTTTAGCACCCCCCTACTCCCACCTGTCCTGTCCTTTTCATAGTAGATCAGATGGCCATGGGAGGGGCTGAGGCTCCTGGGATGTTTAATAAAAGCCTGTGACTTTCAGGGAAAGGCAAGAATAAGTGAGACTGCCCACTGAGGAGGCTGGGCAGGGCAGGGCTGGAGTGGGCCTCGGAGGGGCAGCTGAAGGATGTGTAGGAGTTTCCTGGAAGAAGGGTGCAGAAGCTGCATTTGAGAAGTTTGGAGGAAGGAGTAGCGTCCGGTGTCAGGACTGGTGGTTGGAACCTGAGAGCGGGAGAAACTAAGCCTGCTCCGTAGTGGGGCAGGAGCCTGACCCTTCTGTGCCTCCCCAGAGCCGTGCCTTGGTTGGCCCAGCACGGAGAAAGCCGTGTGAGAATGACTTTGAGACCATCAAACTCATCAGCAATGGGGCTTATGGGTGAGTCCTTGGGTGCCCCAAAGACCCATTCTGAGATGCGTATGGGGTTAGCTGACGGCCACCCAGTGACAGTCACATGCAGTGAGCATTTTTTAAGTATCATTTTGTGAGGTTTGCAGGGGCAGAGGTAGGAGGTAAGCGTCCCTCAAGACAGAAGACCCTCCAGAGGGAGACTGGAAATGGGTCATGTGCATCCAGGCGATGTCGCTGGGTGGCACAGTGGGGCGTTTCTGGGTCCCAGAGCTCCGAAGGGCAGTAGCGGCTTGGGGTCTTTACAGCCCTAGAGCTTATCTCCGGCTGGGAGATGCGGGTGCAGTTTCACCAGGGGTGCAAAGCCAGCAGACTCCACGTGGCTAAACATCTGCTTATTTGGGCTCTATTTAAAGGCATCTGAGTTTGGTGCAGTGGGCTTTTGAGCTAAAGGGTCTACGGGCCTCAGTTGGCTATAAAGAAATAAGCAACCTTGAGACCATCTTTGGCTTATTTATGACACCAGGCAGGGCAACTTAAACCCATGGGGCAGCTGCTTTGGGAAAGGGGCCAGGTAAGGGGAAAGGGCATCCCAGGCAGCAAGCACACCCAGGCAAAGGCCCGGTGGGGCGCCTTGTGAGGCCAGGTCACGTCTCAGTGCCTGCTGGGGCCTCGCTGTCAGGCCTCAGCAAGCCTGGCCTCCCCAGGGCTGTGTACCTGGTGCGGCACCGGGACACCCGGCAGCGCTTCGCCATCAAGAAGATCAACAAGCAGAACCTAATCCTGCGCAACCAGATCCAGCAGGTGTTTGTAGAGCGCGACATCCTCACCTTCGCTGAGAACCCCTTCGTGGTCAGCATGTTCTGCTCCTTCGAGACCCGGCGTCACCTCTGCATGGTCATGGAGTACGTGGAAGGTGCAGTCACAGGGACTCCTGCCTCCAGCAGTGGGGAGCTCAGCCCGATCCAGGAGAAAGTCCCTCCTTTGAAGCTGGGGTCTGCTCTGTCCTCCATGAGGTCCCAGCCTGCCTTGGGCACCCTCCGTCTGTGATGGGGGTCCCCTTAGGGATCGGCACTGGGGGAGCCCAACAGGGAGTGTGAGAACTGGACCCCTACCTAGGGGGTAAGGGAGGGATGGACCTCCCAGGCAGTGGGTGCCAGTGGGCAGAGGCCTGGGGGCTGGAAGCCAGAGCAGGGAAGGGAGGGAGGTGTGCTCCCTCCCTAATTCAGAAGAGACTGGGGATGCTCTGCAGGAGGTGGGCAGGTGGCCTAGGCGAGGGCAGGAGAGTAGAGCCCAGAGCACCTGTGAGTGCGCCCGCCCCTCCTCAGGCGGCGACTGCGCCACGCTCCTGAAGAACATGGGCCCGCTGCCTGTGGACATGGCCCGCATGTATTTCGCGGAGACAGTGCTGGCGCTGGAATACCTGCACAACTATGGCATCGTGCACCGGGACCTCAAGCCAGACAAGTGAGTGGGTGGGCCTCTGCGCAGGGCCCAAGGCCCTGTGGGGAACGTGGCAGTGTTCAGCACCTGGTGTGTATAGGGGAGAGCTGATACTTATTAGGTACTTGCTGTTTGCAGAGGAAAGACTGCATTTATGGGGCACCAGCTATGCACAGGGAATAGAGACATGCACATTGCAAGACCTTATATGTGAAGAAAGGGGCTGTGCATGGTTTGAGCATCTGCTGTTAGTGCAAGCAAGAGACCCCTGGAATGCTTATTTTATTCTAGCACCTAGTAAGCATCTACTGCATGCTAGGTTCTCTGTGGGTGACTGGGAGACACAAGGAGTAATCCCTCATGCTTTGTAACCCCTACATAATTTTTAAGGCACTCTACCCTGCATTGAGCACCTGCTGTGTACTGTCAAGTGCCCTCTGGGTGCAGGGTGAGTATGTTTCTCAGACACTTGAGGTGGGGAGGTGCAAACATAGGCATTAAGAGCCTGCTTGTTTTCAGGGCATCTTGTGGTTTGTGAGTGGCATAGGAAACAAATCGAATGTGTATTTTGTATACTTGGGCCTTTGCATTCAACGATGTAAGGATGCTCTGTGCCCGTGAGGCCTCTGGAGTCAGGTAGGGTCTTCTGAGTGTCTCAGGTCAAACCCCCAGGCAGGACCTGCTCCTGTCAAGCTCAGGACCTTCCTCTGCAAAAGGAGGAGGTGCCCAGCCCCCAGCCCCTACAGGAGGGATAAATGCACACAGTAGGTGCTTGAGAAAAATATTTTGTCCTTTTCACTTTGGAAAATTTGGAGCACATGCAAAAAAGTCAAGTGAAGGTGTGTTAGTGTGCTAGGGCTGCTGTAACAAAGTACTACAGGCTGGCCTGCTTAAACAACAGAGATTTATTCTCACAGTTGTTGGGGGTGAAAGTTCAAGGTGTCAGAGGGTCCTCCTCTCTGAAGGCAAGAGGGGAAGGACCCCTCTAGGCCTCTCTCCCAGCTTCCAGTTCCTTGGCTTGTGTCAGCGTCTCTGATCTTCACCTGGCATTCTCCCTGGGGCATGGCTGTGCCCAAAGTTCCCCTTTTTAAGAGGACATCAGTCATACTGGGTTGCGGCCACCCTACTCCAGGAAGCCCCCGTTTTAACTAGTCATGTCTGCAACAACTGACTCTCCAAATGAGGCTGCGCCCGTGCTCAGTGGGGCTTCAGACTTCAACGTGTGAGTGTCTGGGGACAAAATTTAACCCCTTAACAGAAAGGTGCAGTGGCCCCACCCGCTCAACACACTCCCATCCTTGGCTTCCGCAGCTGCCAGCACTCGGCCAATCCTGTTTCTTCCCTACTACCCACCACCACCACCCCAACCGTGGGTTCCCTTAACCCCCACTGGATAATTTGAAGCAAATTCCAGGCATTAAATCATTTCATTTGTGAGAAGGAAAGAAGTTTTAAATAGATATAGTCAGTGTTCAAGAAAAGAACGTGTTGTAGATAGCGGTGTCTCCTTAGGAGCTGCAGAAATGTTTGAGCAGGTGGATGGCCCCAGGCCTGCCACAAGGCCTTGGTTCTGGAAGCTCTTGCCTGCACCTGATAGCCCCACTGAAGTGTTTCCACAGCTGGTGTACACAGCAGTTGCTCGAGAAATGTCCTCATTTTTAAAAACAGCAGAGGCACAGAGAACTGTTTCTTTGTAGAGGCAAGGTACACAGTAGGTGACAAATAAATGGCTCACTAAACAACTTGAATATATGCAGTGAGTTCTCCAGAAATTTATTTTTAAGCAGCAGATGTATCAGGATTTACACAAAAATGTGACTTTATAAAGATGTGCATATGATTCTGTTCTATAACAAAACACATATATTTAAGCCCACAGGAAAACTTGAACAGCAGTGTATACCGTAGGTTTGCAGGTTTTAAAAAAATGGGTGCACTCATGAGGTATATTTCTATATACAGCAGGTGCTCAAGATATGTTCATTTTTTAATGGATGTAAATAATAGGTGTTTGTTAAGTGTTTGTTAAAATAATGGACACACATGCAAAAATGGACCATAGATTCACCCAATAGGTAGTCAGATATTTTTAATGCACAGGGAGAACATGCTGTGATTCTCAGGAAATTTATATTTGAATAGTAGGGTATACAATAGGTGCTCAGTAGCAACTCAGGATGCGCCCAGATGTAGGTACCCCGAGATGTTTGCCACACTATAATACTGTCCAAGACCTGTTCTCGCAATAGTGTGGCCAGGAATGGCAAGTACTTTCTGACCTCCTTGGAGGAGGTGGGCTGCCCCAGCTGGACCTTGGCCCAGCTAGGTTGGAGCCAAATTCTGGGGCGGCAGGAGTGACCAGGTACCCCCAGCCTTGAGTACACCACTTTCCCGCCCACAGCCTGCTGATCACCTCGCTTGGCCACATCAAGCTGACCGACTTCGGCCTATCCAAGATTGGGCTCATGAGCATGGCCACCAACCTCTATGAGGGCCACATTGAGAAGGACACCCGGGAGTTCGTGGACAAGCAGGTGGGTGGGCAGGCGGTAGCCCTGGATGTGGCACTACCTCCCTTTGTTTGAAGACCAACTTCCCAGACACGGGGAGACTGTCCAGCATAAAGGAGAAAATAAAGTGCCCCGTAATTCTCCCCACCCCTTATTCCCAGCCTGGCCCTAGCCTCTCCACTTCTCCTGTGGTCTCTCCCGGGCTGGAGGCTGTGCTCAGTTTCCCTGTTCTGCCTGGCCTAGGTGTGCGGGACGCCCGAGTACATTGCACCCGAGGTGATCTTCCGTCAAGGCTATGGGAAGCCGGTGGACTGGTGGGCCATGGGTGTCGTCCTCTATGAATTCCTGGTGGGCTGCGTGCCTTTCTTCGGAGACACCCCTGAGGAGCTCTTTGGCCAGGTGGTCAGTGGTGCGTTCCCCTACCCATGGCCTCAGGTTCGAGCCTCAGCCCCACTAGGGCTCTGGGCAGCCCCAGGTGTGGATTGGGCACCTACCGTGCACCTGGCACAGCCAAAGCAAGGGAGACAGACCGTAAAGTAGATAAAAAATCAAACTATGGGAAATCAGAGGCAAACAATACAAAGGAGAAGCAGCAAGAAGAAGGGAAGGGAACAGGGTACCGGATGTCAGGAGGGCTGTATTAAATAGGGGTCATGGAGGCCTCACTGAGATGACAGTGAGCAGAGACCTGAAGGAAGAAGAGGGGGCCACAAAGAGAAAAGGGGAAGGTGCTCTGGGCAGAGGGCACAGCCGGAGCAACGGCTGTGAGGTGGGAACCAAGCCTAGTGTGTTAAAGAAAGATGGTCGCTTGGAGCCCACTGAGTAAGGGAAGGCAGTGGGAGGTGCGAGGAAGGGCTTTCCCCACCCGCTCACTCGCTCCCCTCGTTTTAGATGAGATCATGTGGCCAGAGGGGGACGAGGCCCTTCCATCTGATGCCCAGGACCTTATCACCAGGCTGCTCCGACAGAGTCCGCTGGACCGTCTGGGCACTGGTATGTAGGTGTGAGTGGGGATGGAAGTTGGAGTGAACAAGAGCTCTACTTGAGAGGCTTCATGGGACTTGGAGCTGGGGTTTTGAAGGGTGTGTAGGAGTTCACCAGGAACTAGAGTAAGACCTGGGAGGAATAGCAGCTAGCTGAGTCTGGTGAGGATAAGGGGCACTGAGGCTGAGGATGTGAGCCTATAAGGTCACCGTGGTCTGTGCTGTAGTCTTCACAGCCCAGTGGATCCCAATGTCCTGGTTTCCCCATCTACCTGACTAATGGTTAAGGGACTGTTTGTCACTCATGCAGCCACCCACTACATGGCCACTCTAGGTCATGTTCATGGAGAGGACCTGGGGGGCAGGCGTCACCTCTGCATGGTCATGGAGTACGTGGAAGGTGCAGTCACAGGGACTCCTGCCTCCAGCAGTGGGGAGCTCAGCCCGATCCAGGAGAAAGTCCCTCCTTTGAAGCTGGGGTCTGCTCTGTCCTCCATGAGGTCCCAGCCTGCCTTGGGCACCCTCCGTCTGTGATGGGGGTCCCCTTAGGGATCGGCACTGGGGGAGCCCAACAGGGAGTGTGAGAACTGGACCCCTACCTAGGGGGTAAGGGAGGGATGGACCTCCCAGGCAGTGGGTGCCAGTGGGCAGAGGCCTGGGGGCTGGAAGCCAGAGCAGGGAAGGGAGGGAGGTGTGCTCCCTCCCTAATTCAGAAGAGACTGGGGATGCTCTGCAGGAGGTGGGCAGGTGGCCTAGGCTAGGGGCAGGAGAGTAGAGCCCAGAGCACCTGTGAGTGCGCCCGCCCCTCCTCAGGCGGCGACTGCGCCACGCTCCTGAAGAACATGGGCCCGCTGCCTGTGGACATGGCCCGCATGTATTTCGCGGAGACAGTGCTGGCGCTGGAATACCTGCACAACTATGGCATCGTGCACCGGGACCTCAAGCCAGACAAGTGAGTGGGTGGGCCTCTGCGCAGGGCCCAAGGCCCTGTGGGGAACGTGGCAGTGTTCAGCACCTGGTGTGTATAGGGGAGAGCTGATACTTATTAGGTACTTGCTGTTTGCAGAGGAAAGACTGCATTTATGGGGCACCAGCTATGCACAGGGAATAGAGACATGCACATTGCAAGACCTTATATGTGAAGAAAGGGGCTGTGCATGGTTTGAGCATCTGCTGTTAGTGCAAGCAAGAGACCCCTGGAATGCTTATTTTATTCTAGCACCTAGTAAGCATCTACTGCATGCTAGGTTCTCTGTGGGTGACTGGGAGACACAAGGAGTAATCCCTCATGCTTTGTAACCCCTACATAATTTTTAAGGCACTCTACCCTGCATTGAGCACCTGCTGTGTACTGTCAAGTGCCCTCTGGGTGCAGGGTGAGTATGTTTCTCAGACACTTGAGGTGGGGAGGTGCAAACATAGGCATTAAGAGCCTGCTTGTTTTCAGGGCATCTTGTGGTTTGTGAGTGGCATAGGAAACAAATCGAATGTGTATTTTGTATACTTGGGCCTTTGCATTCAACGATGTAAGGATGCTCTGTGCCCGTGAGGCCTCTGGAGTCAGGTAGGGTCTTCTGAGTGTCTCAGGTCAAACCCCCAGGCAGGACCTGCTCCTGTCAAGCTCAGGACCTTCCTCTGCAAAAGGAGGAGGTGCCCAGCCCCCAGCCCCTACAGGAGGGATAAATGCACACAGTAGGTGCTTGAGAAAAATATTTTGTCCTTTTCACTTTGGAAAATTTGGAGCACATGCAAAAAAGTCAAGTGAAGGTGTGTTAGTGTGCTAGGGCTGCTGTAACAAAGTACTACAGGCTGGCCTGCTTAAACAACAGAGATTTATTCTCACAGTTGTTGGGGGTGAAAGTTCAAGGTGTCAGAGGGTCCTCCTCTCTGAAGGCAAGAGGGGAAGGACCCCTCTAGGCCTCTCTCCCAGCTTCCAGTTCCTTGGCTTGTGTCAGCGTCTCTGATCTTCACCTGGCATTCTCCCTGGGGCATGGCTGTGCCCAAAGTTCCCCTTTTTAAGAGGACATCAGTCATACTGGGTTGCGGCCACCCTACTCCAGGAAGCCCCCGTTTTAACTAGTCATGTCTGCAACAACTGACTCTCCAAATGAGGCTGCGCCCGTGCTCAGTGGGGCTTCAGACTTCAACGTGTGAGTGTCTGGGGACAAAATTTAACCCCTTAACAGAAAGGTGCAGTGGCCCCACCCGCTCCACACACTCCCATCCTTGGCTTCCGCAGCTGCCAGCACTCGGCCAATCCTGTTTCTTCCCTACTACCCACCACCACCACCCCAACCGTGGGTTCCCTTAACCCCCACTGGATAATTTGAAGCAAATTCCAGGCATTAAATCATTTCATTTGTGAGAAGGAAAGAAGTTTTAAATAGATATAGTCAGTGTTCAAGAAAAGAACGTGTTGTAGATAGCGGTGTCTCCTTAGGAGCTGCAGAAATGTTTGAGCAGGTGGATGGCCCCAGGCCTGCCACAAGGCCTTGGTTCTGGAAGCTCTTGCCTGCACCTGATAGCCCCACTGAAGTGTTTCCACAGCTGGTGTACACAGCAGTTGCTCGAGAAATGTCCTCATTTTTAAAAACAGCAGAGGCACAGAGAACTGTTTCTTTGTAGAGGCAAGGTACACAGTAGGTGACAAATAAATGGCTCACTAAACAACTTGAATATATGCAGTGAGTTCTCCAGAAATTTATTTTTAAGCAGCAGATGTATCAGGATTTACACAAAAATGTGACTTTATAAAGATGTGCATATGATTCTGTTCTATAACAAAACACATATATTTAAGCCCACAGGAAAACTTGAACAGCAGTGTATACCGTAGGTTTGCAGGTTTTAAAAAAATGGGTGCACTCATGAGGTATATTTCTATATACAGCAGGTGCTCAAGATATGTTCATTTTTTAATGGATGTAAATAATAGGTGTTTGTTAAGTGTTTGTTAAAATAATGGACACACATGCAAAAATGGACCATAGATTCACCCAATAGGTAGTCAGATATTTTTAATGCACAGGGAGAACATGCTGTGATTCTCAGGAAATTTATATTTGAATAGTAGGGTATACAATAGGTGCTCAGTAGCAACTCAGGATGCGCCCAGATGTAGGTACCCCGAGATGTTTGCCACACTATAATACTGTCCAAGACCTGTTCTCGCAATAGTGTGGCCAGGAATGGCAAGTACTTTCTGACCTCCTTGGAGGAGGTGGGCTGCCCCAGCTGGACCTTGGCCCAGCTAGGTTGGAGCCAAATTCTGGGGCGGCAGGAGTGACCAGGTACCCCCAGCCTTGAGTACACCACTTTCCCGCCCACAGCCTGCTGATCACCTCGCTTGGCCACATCAAGCTGACCGACTTCGGCCTATCCAAGATTGGGCTCATGAGCATGGCCACCAACCTCTATGAGGGCCACATTGAGAAGGACACCCGGGAGTTCGTGGACAAGCAGGTGGGTGGGCAGGCGGTAGCCCTGGATGTGGCACTACCTCCCTTTGTTTGAAGACCAACTTCCCAGACACGGGGAGACTGTCCAGCATAAAGGAGAAAATAAAGTGCCCCGTAATTCTCCCCACCCCTTATTCCCAGCCTGGCCCTAGCCTCTCCACTTCTCCTGTGGTCTCTCCCGGGCTGGAGGCTGTGCTCAGTTTCCCTGTTCTGCCTGGCCTAGGTGTGCGGGACGCCCGAGTACATTGCACCCGAGGTGATCTTCCGTCAAGGCTATGGGAAGCCGGTGGACTGGTGGGCCATGGGTGTCGTCCTCTATGAATTCCTGGTGGGCTGCGTGCCTTTCTTCGGAGACACCCCTGAGGAGCTCTTTGGCCAGGTGGTCAGTGGTGCGTTCCCCTACCCATGGCCTCAGGTTCGAGCCTCAGCCCCACTAGGGCTCTGGGCAGCCCCAGGTGTGGATTGGGCACCTACCGTGCACCTGGCACAGCCAAAGCAAGGGAGACAGACCGTAAAGTAGATAAAAAATCAAACTATGGGAAATCAGAGGCAAACAATACAAAGGAGAAGCAGCAAGAAGAAGGGAAGGGAACAGGGTACCGGATGTCAGGAGGGCTGTATTAAATAGGGGTCATGGAGGCCTCACTGAGATGACAGTGAGCAGAGACCTGAAGGAAGAAGAGGGGGCCACAAAGAGAAAAGGGGAAGGTGCTCTGGGCAGAGGGCACAGCCGGAGCAACGGCTGTGAGGTGGGAACCAAGCCTAGTGTGTTAAAGAAAGATGGTCGCTTGGAGCCCACTGAGTAAGGGAAGGCAGTGGGAGGTGCGAGGAAGGGCTTTCCCCACCCGCTCACTCGCTCCCCTCGTTTTAGATGAGATCATGTGGCCAGAGGGGGACGAGGCCCTTCCATCTGATGCCCAGGACCTTATCACCAGGCTGCTCCGACAGAGTCCGCTGGACCGTCTGGGCACTGGTATGTAGGTGTGAGTGGGGATGGAAGTTGGAGTGAACAAGAGCTCTACTTGAGAGGCTTCATGGGACTTGGAGCTGGGGTTTTGAAGGGTGTGTAGGAGTTCACCAGGAACTAGAGTAAGACCTGGGAGGAATAGCAGCTAGCTGAGTCTGGTGAGGATAAGGGGCACTGAGGCTGAGGATGTGAGCCTATAAGGTCACCGTGGTCTGTGCTGTAGTCTTCACAGCCCAGTGGATCCCAATGTCCTGGTTTCCCCATCTACCTGACTAATGGTTAAGGGACTGTTTGTCACTCATGCAGCCACCCACTACATGGCCACTCTAGGTCATGTTCATGGAGAGGACCTGGGGGGCAAGGTTGGGGAACATGATACCTTCACACAACCAGCTTTGTGTGAAAAAGGCCTGGGGAGGAAGACCTCCTAAGGCTCTAGGGTTTCTCCGGGTGTTGGGATCTCAGAATCCAGCAGCAGGAGGAGCAGGGTGGCTTCTATCCTCAGCTCCATCCCTCTCCAGGCTCTTAAATGGCGGCTGGTTTCTCCTCCCAACTTGCTGGTTCTGTGTTAGCTAAATTTTGGTTCACAGTTGGCTCGGAGACAGTGTGGGGTGGGAGACCTGCAAGGCTCAGCCAGGCATGTCTGCAGGTGGCACCCACGAGGTAAAGCAGCACCCATTCTTCTGGACACTGGACTGGGCAGGGCTTCTGCGACACAAGGCTGAGTTTGTGCCACAGCTCGAAGCTGAGGATGACACCAGCTACTTCGACAGTAAGTGGGGGCCCAGAGGGTGGGCTCTGCTGTCCCACAGTCCTCTGGGGTGGGGAGGGGGTATCTGCTGGCTGCCCCCCTGGCTGGGATTTCTTGTGCATTTGGGTTCAAGAGGCCACGGCAACCTTTCAGGTTGCAGGAGGGGAAACAAAGGTTCAGTGTGGCTGACTTATGTGGGAACCCCAACAGGCCCATCCTGAGTGTCCAGTCCTGACCAGACATGGAGCCCTGTCTGTCACATGGAGAGGGACGTCTCTCTCAGCCTTTGTGGAGGGAGCCCCTCCAACACTTGTGGGCAGGCTCAGACAAGTCTCCCTCTCCCCACTTGGGCGCCAGCCAAATGCAGAATAAACACCCTTGGTTTCCAGCACCTCCTCCAGAACTGTCTGTGTGATCTGGGGCTTGTCAGAGTCCTCTGTGAGTGTGTTTCCTCTTCTGTAAGACAGGGAGCATGCTTTACTTTTAAGATGCACAATATTACCTGTTTCTACCTATTTCTGGGTGACCCATCTCAAGGGTAAGAATACTGAGGCTCAGACACAAGAATTCCCACCCACGGTCCCACAGCTTTTAGGGACACAGCTGGGATTTATTCCCAGATACTCTGCCACCTCAGCCTCCCGTGGTCCCTCGATACACTAGGCACGGTTCTGCCTCAATGCCTTTGTCCTGACTGTGTCTCCCTGCCCAGGAAGCCCTCCGCACATCACCCCACAGCCCTTGTGGCTACCTCCGAGCATCCTGCGGGCTCTACATGTCTTTCCCTCCCACAGCACGCTCCGAACGTTACCGCCACCTGGGCTCTGAGGATGACGAGCCCCGTGATGAGGAGTCGTCCACAGAGATCCCCCAGTTCTCCTCCTGCTCCCACCGGTTCAGCAAGGTGGGCCCATGACCCTAGGTGGAGCTGGTGCTCAGAAAACACTACAAGATGTTTGTTTGGGGGGGTGGGAGGTTTGTTGTTTTTTTGGGGAGGGGTTTTTTTTTTGTGTGTGGTAAAATACATACCATTTTAGCCATTTTAACCTATACAATTCAGTAGCATTTGGTACATTCACAATGATATGCAACCACCACTTCTTTATAGTTCCAGAACATTCCCATCACCCTAAAAGGAGACCTCATCCCCATGAGCTGCCACTCCCCTTCCCCGTCCCCTAACCCCTGGCAGCCACGGATCTGCTTTCTGTCGCTATGGATTCGCCTCTTCTGGACGTTTCATGTACATGGAATCACATACTATGTGGCCACTTGCATCTGGCTTCTCACTTGGTGCAATGTTTCTGAGGTTCATCCGCACTGTAGCATGTCAGGGCTTCATTCCTCTCCGCAGCTGAGTCCTGTCTCACTGTTCCACTGTATAGATGGGACACATCCTGTCTGCACTGTTCCTTTTTATTACTTCATCAGCTGCTAAACTTGGGTTGTTTCCACTTTGGGGTAATTGTGGGTAGAGCTGCTCTGCTGGGTGTCATCTCAAAACCTCACAAACTTAATTAAGTGCCATCCTTTGTTTATAATTGGATGACAAAACTTACTGTACTGCTTGTGGGCCTGGGCCCCAGGCAGGACATCTGATCAGCAGCAGAAACCCTGGCTGTGGCCCCTTTGAACCTGTTTCATCATCTGTACAGTAGGCAAAAGACTGCTCTCTTTGGGGATGTGGTAAGGATATAAGGAAGTGACTCACAAGGAAGCCACAGGCATGTAGGAAGCGCTCGGCCAAGCTGGCCCTTCCCCATGGGTGTGGCTGCCTGCCTCTGTTGTTTTCACTGTTATTTTTTATTATTTCCCAGGTCTATAGCAGCTCCGAGTTTCTGGCCGCCCAACCTACACCAACCTTCACTGAACGGAGCTTCAGTGAGGACCGAGATGAAGGTTGGGAACGCAGCAGCGAAGGAGAGCATGGCCACTGGCTGAACACTGAGGTCCGGTAGGTGGGCTGGGGAATATAGACAGATCCAGCTTCCAGCCCTGCTGGGAGATAGAACCACAGAATCTAACATTGGAAGGAGCTTCCCAGTGGCCCAGTAGAAAAGGGTCAAGCATATTGGCCAGCCTCGCAGACTGCAACCAACCTGGCCTTTGTTATCACTCCCTTCGACTTTGCTTTCCTAACCACAGCACACATAAAGCAGATGTGCACTGTGACACTGCTAGGTTTTTGCTTGTACTGTTCCCTCTGCAACCCTGTACAAATGAACTTCTATTTATCCTTCAAAGTCCAATCTCAACAGAATAATCAATGTCTGCTGGAGGGTGGGTGTTTGAAGCTGTGTCTTAAAAGATAAATAGGAGCTCTCTGAGCAGACAGAGAAGACAGTAGGCAGAGGGAACTCACCTTGTGTTTACAAATTGCCTTTGACAGAGAGTTAAGATGTGGCCACTAGGGGCGACTGGGTGTCCTGGGTGAGGGCACCCAGCAAGCCTGACTTGGGCTCTTCCCCGCTGCAGGCTGAGGTCCTGGACGTCCTCTGGTTCCTCCTGCCACTCTTCCTCTTCCCAGCCTGAGCAGGGCCCCAGCCCATCTCTCCTGAACTTGGACACAATGCCCAAGTTTGCCTTCTCATCAGAGGATGAGGGAGCCAGCCCAGTCCCTGTGATCCCCAAGAGGCCCATCTTCATTCTGGGGGAGCCTGACCCTCCCCCATCAACCACCCCAGTGATGTCCAAGCCCTCAAGCCTTTCTGGTAGGTGGGGTCCAGGATAGAAAGTTTTCCAAAGGAGGGACTATTTGAGATGGGTTTTGAAGGATGAGTAGGAGTTCTCCAGCAAGAACTTTCATTTGCCTAACAAAGGCTTTGAGATAGGAGAAGCCAGGGCTCCAGAGAGGCCTTAGGCCTCAGCTTAGCCCTCGGGAAGCCCCCAGTCTGTGGGTGATTGGGTCAGGACAGGATTGGAGAAAGGGATGGAGCTTGGGGACTCTAAGAAGGGGAGTTAGTGTCTGACTGGGACAGGGAGAAGGCTTTTTAGAGGAGGGGACTTGAAGAGTGGAGTTTTCTAGGGAGAACAGTGCAAGAAAAGGGAACTGCCTGAACAAAGACGAGGAGGCTGGACCTTGTACATGCCATCCCGGGAGGAAGGGGCTTTGCCTCTGAGGGGAGAGGGGCCAAATGGTGAGCTGTGGGGCCAGGTTGACCCCCAGGCCCTGGTGACCCCCTAGCTGACACAGCTGCCCTCAGCCATGCGCGCCTACGAAGCAACAGCACCGGTGCTCGACACTCCACACCACGGGCCCTGGATGCTGGTCAGGGCCGCCGCCTTGGGGGTCCAAGAGAATCAGCCCCTGAGAAAGGCAGGGCCAGCCCCAGTGGGGGCCGTGTGCCCAAGTCGGCCTCAGTGTCTGCCCTGTCACTCATCATCACAGCAGGTAATGCCCATGGCCCAGCCTTGTCTTCGCTTATCTGCTGCTTTGGCCAGGGTGTCGGGAGCTGGAGGGAAGCTGGAGGGGATCCCTAGGGGTTTTGTTGTGGCTGAGCCCCAGGAGAGGGGAACAAGCTGGAGGCCTGGCATTCCTGGCAGAAGCCACTGCATGTGCAAAGGCCTGGCGGGGGGACTGTGCTTGAGACACTGAAACAGCAGCAAGCAGCCAGAGCGGTCAGTGTGCTGGGAGGAGGGGACTCCACAAAGGAGTGCCCCCCACCCTGCTCCTCATCCCACAGATGATGGCAGCGGTGGCCCCCTCATGAGTCCCCTGTCCCCACGCTCGCTGTCCTCAAACCCGTCGTCCCGTGACTCCTCTCCAAGCCGAGATCCATCCCCCGTGTGTGGCAGCCTGCGGCCCCCCATTGTCATCCACAGCTCAGGCAAGAAGTATGGCTTCAGCCTGCGGGCAATCCGCGTCTACATGGGTGACAGTGATGTCTACACGGTGCACCATGTCGTCTGGGTGAGTTGGCCTTGGGGTTGGGGGAAACAGCCAGACCTGGTTGGAGTCCAACTCTGTCCTGGCAGGAGCTGCATTTTCTAGTCTTAAAAAGTGAGCTCTGCACTCATGGCCTATGAGGTGGGGAGGCCTGGGGTGGGGATGGGTTGGGGCTGGGCCCAAGGACAGGGATGGGGAGAGGGACAGACACCCCAGGGGAGCATGAGGCTGCAGCCCTATGCCAGCGGGAGCACAGCAGGTGTGCTGTCCTCCCTCCTGCCAGCCCAAGACCTGTCCCATCCCCTCTGTTCACTCTTTGAATAACCCTGCCAGTCAGGGAAACTGAGGCAGCAGCTTGCTGGAGTCTCACAGCTGACCCCAGCTGGGCTCCCTGGCTGTGGGGCCCAGCCACTGACCCTGCCACCCACCCCGACCTGCACCCCCAGAGTGTGGAGGAGGGAAGCCCCGCCCAGGAGGCAGGCCTGCGAGCCGGAGACCTCGTCACCCACATCAATGGGGAGTCGGTCCTGGGGCTGGTGCACATGGATGTCATTGAGCTGCTGCTGAAGGTACAGCCCCACTGCCCCCAGAGCTCAGCTGACCCTGGGGTACCCAGATCTCCCCACCCCCTGTCCATCCTCAGGGCCCCCAGATCTCCCCGCTGCCCTCTGGGCTGCTCCTGTGACCCCCACTTCTCCCTGGCCTCAGTTCCCCACTCTACATGGGTTTCCTCCTCCAACCACCCCACCCCACCCTCGCTCTCAGCCCCAGGCCTTGCATGCCCCTCCCCCCTGCCCAGGCTATGCTTGCTCTGTAGCCTCCTAACATCACCCCCCAGGTCCCCTCCTCCAGGAAGCTCACCCTGCCTCCTGAGCACTCCCACCGCCAGCCCTCCCTCTGGCCCACCCTGACCTTGTGGGGCTGGAGTTACCTGTGCCATCTTTGCCTTCCTCAGACCAGGCACCCTCGGGGTCTGAGGCCTCTGGGTGGGGAGATGAGCAACAGCTGGAGACAGCCCCCTGGGTGGGTAGCTCCTGGGACCACTGGGTGGGTCGCTGGGTGGCTCACTGGATGATGGACAGACTGGATGTGAATCTCTGGCCCACTGAGTAAGAAGCTGAGGGGTTCGGATCTGGGGCTCTGATGGATGTACAGGTGGGTGGGTGTGTGAGTGGCTCAGATGGGAGGGACAAGGACTCAGGCGACCCCTCACCATCCCCCCTGCACAGTGCGGCAACAAGATCTCCCTGCGGACTACAGCCCTGGAGAACACATCCATCAAGGTAGGCCCCGCCAGGAAGAACGTGGCCAAGGGTCGCATGGCACGCAGGAGCAAGAGGAGCCGCCGGCGGGAGACCCAGGACCGGTGAGCAGCGGCAGGCCTCCAGGGAGCACGGGTGGGGGCCTGGGGCATGCTCCGGCTGCTGTGGGCAGGGCTTCCGAAACATCAGAGTCTCTCACCCCCAGACGGAAGTCACTGTTCAAGAAGATCTCCAAACAGTCGTCTGTGCTGCACACCAGCCGAAGTTTCTCATCCGGCCTCCACCACTCCCTGTCATCCAGTGAGAGCCTCCCGGGCTCTCCCACCCACAGCCTCTCCCCCAGCCCCACCACGCCATGCCGCAGCCCAGCTCCCGATGCCCAAGCAGGTGGGCACACCCCGCGGGCCACCCCAGGAGAAAGGGCCACTCAGGGCTGTGGTGGCCGGTCCAGGGAGGGAGCAAGCAGGGGGTGGAGGATAGAATGATGTAATATAGGAAGCCAGGTGCCCACAGGGTCATTCCAGCTCCCTGCAGTCTATAAGGCAAGTGGGGAGTTGGGAGTGGGCAGAGGGAACATGACAAAGGGGGCTGGACAGGAGGGGTATGAAAGCTGGGGGGAGGCTGGGGAAGGGGGAAATTGCAGGAGTGGATCAGGCCAAGCAGCTGGAGTTAAACTGGCAGCAATAGGGAGCCATGGAGGATGTGTGAACTGGAGAGGGCATGGTTTAAGTGTTAGAAAGAGCATTCTGGGACAGGAAAGGATGGTGACATGGCCCAACCCTGAGTGCCCCCATCTGTGAGAGAGCTAGACACAGACACCCCCAGCTCCACTGGGTTAGCATCAGGCTGCAGCGTGGGGCAGGCTGGGGCAACCCACAGGGGAGGCAAGGAAGGCCTTCTGGAGGAGGCCCACAGGCCCCCCACTCCTCCAGGAAGCCTTCTCTGCCCCCTGGGCACCCCCCAACTCCTGGACCTGCATCTGGCCTACCCTAACCTTGTGGGGCTGACGTTAACTGTGCCATCTTGTATATTTGATGCAAGGAGTGGTGAGTCATTAGATGAGAAGTGGGTGGATAGAAGCTAGGGCTTAGATGGGTAAGTAGGAGTTCACCAGACCTGGGCCAAGAGAACAGCTCTGCAAACGACAGGAAGCAGGAAAGCCAGGCATGGTAGGTGACTACAGGGAAGAATGAGGGCTTTGGCGATGCACTCAGTCCCAGGGTCCCACCTCAAAGCTGAGGAAATTGAGGCTGGTGGCCCTGATCCTTCTCTGTCACCCACAGACACCACATCCCCACCCAGTGCATCCCCGAGCTCCAGCAGCCCTGCTTCTCCAGCTGCCACCAGCCACACCCGCCCCAGCTCCCTTCATGGTCTGGCCACTAAGCTCGGGCCACCCCGCCCCAAGGCTGGCCGTCGCAAGTCCACCAGCAGTATTCCGCCCTCACCACTGGCCTGCCCGCCTGTGCCTGCGCCCCCACCCCGCTCACCCTCACCCCTGCCCGGACACCCACCTGTGCCCACCCGTTCCCCACGGTTGCGCCGGGGACAGTCAGCTGACAAGCTGGGTGCAGGTGAGCGACTAGATGGAGAGTTGGGGCGTCGCGGCCGTGGGCTGGACTCGGAGCTCGTGGTCATGAGGCGGCTGCACCTGTCTGAGCGTCGAGACTCCTTCAAAAAACAGGAGGCTGTGCAGGAGGTGAGCTTTGATGAACCTTCTGAGGAGGCTGCCAGGCCACCCACCTCAGCGCCGCAGATTGCTGTGGAGGGTTCTGAGGCCATGCCAGGGGCCTGCGAACCTTCTGGGAAGGACTAATCCCTCCTACCTGGCCTCTCCCTGGCCTGGAAGTTGGGCGTCATTTTTTGTGCAATGTTTTTTCCATAAAGTGACACCTGGATGGAGACTGAGCCACGAGCCCATGACATCTGGAGGGCAAGAAGCCATTTTGGTCCTTGCTGGAAGGTGGAAACTGCAGCTCCCTCGGGTTCTGGTGTTGATTAGGAACTGTACGGGCAGGAATGGGGGATGAGAGTGGCATTGTAAATAGCAGCAAATCCCTGCAACTAATTTATTACTTTTTATAAGCGATAGCCAGACTGAGCCACCATAGTGAAGGTGGCTACCTGGGTCCTGCCCCACACACCTGGGACTCCATTTGCAGGACCCTGTCCCCTGGGCTTAGAAGGAAGTACTTTGTACAAGTCATACGTGTTTGTATTTTCTAGTTTTCCTGTACTTTTTAAAGTTTTTCTTTGTTACTTGACCCCATCCCTGACCTAAGTCTCACGGACTTGAAGGAGCACAGGCAAGCTCACCTGTCCAGGCCCAGTTTAGATATGACTTGGAGAGTCTATAAACAGTTCCCTTTCACCACAAAACAAAGTAACTCTGATGATGGGCCGGATTCTGAGGGCTATGTTCCATCATCATAGCCTCTATCCCTAAGCCAGCCTTGCTAGAGTCTGCCTCTAGTCCTCCAGGCTGAAGCCTGGAGGAGTAGGTATGGGAACTGGGGTTTTGATGGATGAGCAGGAGTTCACCAGATCTAGGCAAAGGGGTCACTTGCCCCATAGGCAACACTGATGCCCTGGGAAGAAGGCACAGCCTCCAAGGGCACACTACCAGGGTGGGAGCAGAATGTCTACTCCAGGCAAGATTTCACGTTTGATTCCCAACAGGGTAAGCCCATAACTGATATATCTGAAACACCCCCTGAGTGTCCCCTTGATAAATTAAAACTTACTGGGAATGAAATTCAAATGAGAAAACCCAACTGTGGGACAGTGAGGCCTGAGTTTGAATCTTGGCATTGTGTGGTTCTTGGAAAAAGGCTTCCCCATTCTGTGCCTCAGATTCCTTGTTTACAAAACTAATACCAGTGACTATTAAGAACCTACTCTGTGCTAAATGCTTTTTTACTTGTGGCTTCTCCCTCAGCCAGCCTTGAGAAGGCTGGAAGTGATGTCATCCCCATTTTATAGAAAAGTAACTGAGGCCTGGCAAGGGGCAGAGACCTATCCCTGGATCACCTGGCAAGAGTTAATGCAGCCAGGCTCTGCCGTTCAATGGAGAGTTTAATGACTGATACAGTGGACTCCAGCCCCAGCTTTTCCCTGGCTGCTATATGACCCACTGATTAAAGAACCTCCATTTTGCATTTGGAGGTGGCTGGCAACATTGCTGTGCCCACATGATGAAGGCACTTTCCAAGCACTGCAGCCCACTCTGCATCCCTCCCAGAGACCCCCGCCCAGCACTGCCTGGTGTTGGAGCTAGACCAAGGCTGTGCATGACTTGCTCCCTTCCATCCTGGAGCTGACAGTGAATAAAAGTGCACGTTTACAAAGAGGTCCAATGTTTGAATTTGTGAGAGGCAAAGAAAGGAGTAAGGAAAGAGTGCACAGGAGGGGTGAAAACTGACCCTGGCTCAAAGTCACCTGAAGTGGGTTTTGAAGGCTGCATAGGAGTTCACCAATGAGCTTCTCCCTAATGCCTTCCTTCTCTGAGCCTGGCCTCCTGCTGCCCTCTCCCTTGTGAGTACCCGTCGTGGTTTCTGCCCTTAAAAGCTTCATCCGGACACCCTTCTGTGGCCCTGAGCTGTGCTAATAAAATACATAAACCATCTTTGTGTCCTTCATATGCCAGTCTTAGCTCGGGCTATACCCTAAACTCTAATAAGCCCAATCTGAGCACGTTTGGGTTAATTCCCGTCTCTCCACGGGAAGAGAAACCTTTGCCCGCCCACCCGTTCCCGAGCACCTTCGGTTATTTCCGGAAACAATCGCCCGCCTCCGGACTCGGGCCTTCAGGGCTGGAGTTCAGCTGTTTCCGGACGCTCTGGGCTGCCATGGAAACGCTTGCAACCCCGGCTTATTCGATTGTTTTCTGAAAAGCTCCTCTCTCTGGGGCAAACGCCCTCCCCACTTCACCTGCTCCTGTTCGGTGAGCTTGGGCCCGCCTTACGCGTCCTCTAGAGCTGTCCGTCCGTCGGCAAACTTTCGGAAGCCGGTGGTCTGTCTCTGGGTCTAAACGTCCAGGGCCTCCACTTGGGACCAAGCACACACTCGGTTCTTTCCAGAAAGTCTCCTCAGTCTCGAGGCTCAGCCTTTATTCCGCCAGCCCAGCTGTAGCGCGCTCAGCCGTTTCCGGAATCGCTCGGACGTCTCTAAGCCCACCCAAGTCGAGTTGAGCTGAGCTTCGGGATTCCTCGTTTGACCCGATTGCGCTCGGCTATTTCCGGACATGATCGGCTATCTCAGAGCACTCGCAACCCTCCAGTCCCGCGGGAGTATGTTCGGCTCTTTCCGGGAGCACTCGCTCTCAGCCTCGGCCTCGTGTCACCCTCCCGACCCGAAAATGCTCGGCCATTTCCGCAGGGGGCGGGCCCGGCCGTTCGGTACCGCGGCGGCGGCGAAGGCGGGGATCCCGCGGCTGCGGCGACGGCGGCCGCGGTGGAGCCGCGGGTCGGACTTGGCCCTGCGTGACGGCGGCCCCAGCTGCAGCGGCGGTGGCGGCCGCGATCCGGTAAGTCTGGCCGGGCCGGCCTGGCAGGCGGGGCTGGGGGTGCGCTCAAATGCGGGACCCTCCGACAGAGTCTGGAAGCCTAAACGCGAGCGCTAGGCTCTATTGGGCCCCGCGGGAACGGGGGCCGCAAAGAGCGGGAGGCCTCGGACTCGACCTGGCAACAGTGCAGCCTGCCCGGGACGGTGGGGCCGGAAAGAGGGAACCCCCCCAGACAGAAATAAGGGACTGGAGTCGCCACCCCAAATGGAAGTAAGCCCTGGCGGGAGTGGGGCGTCTGGCTGTATTGAGGGGCACCCAGGCATTGTGCTAGGCAGACTTGGGTGCAGGAAGGTCAGGGGTCGACCCACTTCCTTTCCCGGCGCTGGACTGCCGGGTGCACGCAGGCTCGAGTGCGCGTCTGAACACGCGTGAGCGCGCAGGCCCTTGAGTCCAGCCTCCGGACCCCCCAGCCAGGCCTGGCCCCTCCACCCCGCCTCTTGAATTCGGGGAGCGCTGGCTCCCTGGGCGCACACTCCGGAGCGTGTGCATACGTGCGCACGCCGGGGCACGGAGGCGGGCGGCAAGGGGATCTGGGCGGTTTTCTGGATGTCCCCTCGCTGGCCCTCAGTTTCCCCACCTGTAGAATGGGAGTTCAGGGACCAGGGAGTGGGTTAGTTGGGACGCCCCGTAATGTGGACACTCTGCTCCCTGCTTGATCAACTCCTGGGGCTCCCGGTGGTCGAGGAGATAAAGCTCCGATCCTCTGCCTGGCGCTCCAGGCCGAGCGTGGTCCCGGCTTTCTTAGAACCACCCTGAGCTCTTGGCAATTAACTTCCGGCTGTCAAGCCTTTGCATGTACTACTCCCTCTGGCAGTACCCCCTCCTATCCTCTGTGAGGACAGCCCTTTAGAAAAGCACCCCCCAGCCCCTACCCCCCACCTCTCAGAACTGAACTTGCAGGGATGAGACTGAGAGTGTGTTCTATCAGGCTCTGTCTCCCCCAGACAGGGGGCTCCTGGGGTGCGATTGTGGCCCTGCATCCAGCAGCCACCTCCTTGGCAGCTGCAGTGCAGTGCCCTCCCTCGTCCACCCTCTCCTGGCTTCATGTCTACCCTGGGACTAAGGTCCCCTTGGTCTCCTGCTACCCCCCTTATGTTTTGAGCACCTACTCTGGGCCCTCACTGAGCCTCTTCACTCAGTGCCCCTATTTGCGCCTCCCCTGCAGAGACCAAAGATTCATTTGCTCAAGACACTTCTAGGCCTTTGCCCATTGGTGGGGCCTTGTCCTGGAACTCCCTACCTCTTTGCTTCCTTCTATGCTACCTGGACCCCTCTTTGGGGCTTCCACAGCACCCACACCCTGAGCGTCTCCATGGCACCCTACCTGCCCCAGACATAACTGTCTGGCCTTGTGGCTACTACCTCCTGAATCCATCCTGGGCTTTGAAATTGGGCAGATCTTGGTTTTTGAGTCCTCGTTTTCTGGCCTACTTAGTAGCCTAACAAAGACCTCCCTGTTCTGAGCCTCAGTTTCTCCATGTTTAACAAGGACGATTAAGAGCTTGTTTGCTGAGCATGTGGTATGCCCAGAGAAGGTTCTTGGTAGCTCCACTCCCCACAACCCCAAAACTGAACTTGCAGGGATGAGACTGAGAGTGTGTTCTATCAGGCTCTGTCTCCCCCAGACAGGGGGCTCCTGGGGTGCGATTGTGGCCCTGCATCCAGCAGCCACCTCCTTGGCAGCTGCAGTGCAGTGCCCTCCCTCGTCCACCCTCTCCTGGCTTCATGTCTACCCTGGGACTAAGGTCCCCTTGGTCTCCTGCTACCCCCCTTATGTTTTGAGCACCTACTCTGGGCCCTCACTGAGCCTCTTCACTCAGTGCCCCTATTTGCGCCTCCCCTGCAGAGACCAAAGATTCATTTGCTCAAGACACTTCTAGGCCTTTGCCCATTGGTGGGGCCTTGTCCTGGAACTCCCTACCTCTTTGCTTCCTTCTATGCTACCTGGACCCCTCTTTGGGGCTTCCACAGCACCCACACCCTGAGCGTCTCCATGGCACCCTACCTGCCCCAGACATAACTGTCTGGCCTTGTGGCTACTACCTCCTGAATCCATCCTGGGCTTTGAAATTGGGTAGATCTTGGTTTTTGAGTCCTGGTTTTCTGGCCTACTTAGTAGCCTAACAAAGACCTCCCTGTTCTGAGCCTCAGTTTCTCCATGTTTAACAAGGACGATTAAGAGCTTGTTTGCTGAGCATGTGGTATGCCCAGAGAAGGTTCTTGGTAGCTCCACTCCCCACAACCCCAAGGGGGGGGCTGTTATTATACCCACTTTACAGCCAGAGAAACTGAGTCTCAGAAAGGGGTATGGACTGGCCCAAAGTTACCTGGTGAGTTAAGGGATTCTGACCCATAATTTGGGCCCATCTCTGAGTTAGGGCAGGGAGGAGTGAAACCTGGCTGACTCTGACTCTGCCCTGCCCTTCTCTCCCTAGGTCAGTGTCCCAGCCAAGCATGGTGACGGCCTGTGCCCTCGGCCCCCTCGTCTGGCGCAGCTGGAAGAGCCGCCAGCCTCGGGCGCCGATGGCCCACCACGTGAGGGAGTGAGCAGCCTGGCTCTGCCCTTCAGATTGAGGGGGAAAGCAGCGGCTGGGTGACCTGAGACCACGCTGCTGACCCCCTCCTACTAGTTGACGTGGATGGAGCAATGAGTAACCCTTGTCAAGGTGGTGGAATAATGGGAAGCAGGGTGTGAGCAGCCCCCGTGATCACCTGTAACTTCTTGGTGGAAATAACTGTCTGAGTGCCCCAAGCCAACACAGCAGACCCTCCCAGGCCTCCGCCCTGGCTGATGGGGCCACTAGGACCCTCAGCAGCCACCTGATCATCCAGACTCCACCCTGTCAAGCCATGGCTGGTGCTGAAGGCTTCCAGTATCGTGCTCTGTACCCATTTCGCCGGGAGCGACCAGAGGACCTGGAGCTGCTGCCAGGTGATGTGCTGGTGGTGAGCCGGGCAGCCCTGCAGGTGTTGGGAGTGGCCGAGGGCAGCGAACGCTGCCCACAGAATGTAGGCTGGATGCCTGGCCTCAACGAGCGCACGCGGCAGCGAGGTGACTTCCCCGGCACCTATGTTGAGTTCCTGGGGCCAGTGGCCCTGGCCCGACCAGGCCCTCGCCCACGTGGTCCCCGCCCACTGCCTGCCAGGCCCCGAGAGGGGCCCCCCGAGCCAGGTGAGCAGCAGAAAGGGGCCCTGGAAGGGGCAGGGTTCCCTTAGACTCTGTTTCCTCTTCTTTCCAGTGGGGCAGTGGGGCGGTGGGGCCTCTTCCAGGGGAGGAGGAATAAGGACATTTAGTCAGTCTGCAAGTGTCAAGGACTGGATGCGTTTCACCACACTGGGAACACAGCAGTGGGCACAAGGCCTGGCCCTGCCCTCGTGGGGCTTATGGTTCAAGAAGTGATAAGACTGTGATTTGGTAACCACAGATTCATTGAGGAGGGAGTCTCACATGGGGAGAGCTGGATGTGAAGGGCTGCAGGCAGCAGACACAGCAAGGGCAAAGGCCGGGAGGTGGGGCCATAATGGTCTGCTGAGGAGAGTGAGGAAGGAAGGGGCAACAGGGGCTGCTTCATAAGATTGATAAGGCCTTGGGCTTCATAAGGCTAATTTTGATGATAATGGGGAGTGTTCGGGAGGATTCAGAGGCTCAATTTAGCCTCCTCCTGTGGTTTGCAGACAGAGTCCTTTGAGTACACCCTTTGTTACCCTGATTTTAACCAGTTTCCAAAATGAAAGGAGCCATAAGGCCAAAACAGGGCAGGATGCTCAGCCAAGACCGTGCAGCACACTCGGTGCAAAGACCCCACACGCCTCCCCAAAGACCTTTGGCCATCCCCACTTCCAAGGGATGTGCTGAGAGGAGAATCAAGTGAACTGAGTGAGTGCTGAACTTGCTCTGTGGGACTTGCTCCAGGGAAATTGAGGCTCTGCTTGTGGGGATGCCTGCGCAATGCCTGGTGCAGTCTGCTCTGATCCTCCCAGCAGCCCAGTAAGGCCCTGAGGTGCGAGAGGGTCAAGCCACCCACTTGAGGCCATCACCCATTGAAAGCCACGGCCCTGGGAGGTGCCACGGCCCTACCCTTTGGCCTGCCTTGTTTTGGGCCAGAGGGACACTGATGCCCAAAGAGGATCAAGCCGGAGTCCCACAGCATGGGGCAGAATAGGGACCACCCAGACGGTGTGGTGCTGGCCAGAGCCCTGTAGCATCTGGCACCTCCCCGGCCCGGAGGGGCAGGAGGCGGCCCCATCCGGGCTCCCTGCCAGAGTCTGCCTCTCCCCCTGGTAACAGCCGCCTCCCTCCTCTGCCTGGCCTCAGGCCAGCCACCGCACACTTGCCCACTCGCGGTGTCCACCCAGCCCTGCCCTCCAAATCTTTCAAGCCATGTGCCTTGCCAGGGCCAGCCCTCACCAGGCCTCAGTTTCCTCATGTGGGAAGGGGGTGGACTGGCCCCTCTGCACCTCAGGCTGTGACCCTCCAGCACCCCGAGACCACTAACCAACATGCTGATTCAACCCCAAGCAGAGAACTGAGCTCTGAACCCCAGTGTCAACTCAGTCCCCAGGGGAAGGTTGCTCCCTCTCAGAGCCTCAGGTTCTCCCCTGTAAGACAGAGGTGGCGTCTGTCCTGATGGGACCTCCCTCCCCGTTTTGAAAAATGGTTACAGTCCTATTTCAGAGCTGGATTTCAGAACTGTAGTCCCCCCACCAGCCAGGACGTCACTCACCTCCTCTCCCCTATTTTTTTTTTGGCATTTTTGACACGGCTGGGCCTGCCCTTCTTCAGCTTGAAGCGCCACCTGGCCCATCACTCAGGGAGGCCCCGCAGGCCCCAGCTTGCCCCTGCTGTGTACCAAGGCGTCCCCGCCACGGGCCGCATCAAATGGTGGCAGAGCACGCCTGAACACAAAGGGCCCAGTGGAGCGGGAAACGCAGGGCCCAGAGCAGGCTGGGCCAGGGAGGCCCCTGGCTCCCACCAGGAGGGCTTTCAGCATTTTTTAAATTGAGGGAAATAATTTTTTAAAAGTAAAATGACTTAGAAAATGAAGAAAGGTCCTTGGAATGAGGTGTTCTGATCCAGACAGGGATGTTTTCCTTTTACCCCTTTTCAACCACTTTGTTGTTCCTACTAACAAAGGAGAGATGATGCCATCGGCCAGGTTCTTAGTTGAAGAAACTGAGGCAGGTCCCTGTGCCAGGGTTGCATAGCTCTAACCTGTTGTATGAGTTTCCCGTGGCTGCTGCAATGAACTACCACAAACTGGGTGGCTTCAAACCACAGGAGTTTTATTTTCTCATGGTTTTGGAGACTGCAAGTCCAAAATCAAGGTGTCAGCAAGGCCTCCTGAAACTCTAGGGGAGGGTTCTTCCTGCTGCTTCCAGTTTCTGATGGCCCCAGTGTTCCTTAGCTTGTGGCAGTGTCAGCCCAGCCCCTCCCTCTGTGGTCACATGGCCTTCTCTTCCTATAAAGACACCGGTCGTTGGATTTAGGGTCCTTAAAATCCAAGATGACCTGGTCTTCAAGTTCTTACCTTAATTATATCTACAAAGACCCTATTTCTAAATAAGGTCATAGGGATCAGGATGTGGACATATCATTTGGAGGATGCTAAGTAACCCGCTACAGCTGGTCCGTCTAAAGTTATGTGTGTGTGTGAGCTGATATTTTATTCCAGAAAATTGTTTCCCACCAACCGGGCCCTCCCAGCCCTTCCAGCTGGGCCTTGGGGCTTCCCCAGGATGATGGTCCAGATGCCAGGCATTTGCCTGGAGCTGACCGAGCTGAGGTCCAGGGGGCAAAAAGAGGGGCTGGGGACCTTCCAACAACCCTGCCAACATGCTGTCCACTCCTGCCAGGCCTCACGCTCCCTGACCTGCCTGAGCAGTTCTCTCCGCCTGACGTGGCTCCCCCAGTCCTGGTGAAGCTTGTGGAGGCCATTGAGCGGACAGGTGAGCCTCAGCCTGGCTGCAGCTCCTGTACTCTGCTTGCTTACCTCTGGCTATGGGCAGCTTATCCTCTATCAGGGCTGCTGGGTTCACTCTGCATGAGAAGAAGCTAAGGCTGAGTGCTCGGGGTCTCCACGCTGAACTGGGGCAGGAACGACCCCAGGGGAGATGGGAATGTGAACCTCAGATCTGCCACCGCACATGTTGTGTCCTCTGCCACCATCTCCCGCCCTTACTCCTGCTCTTATCTTTGGGAGGTTGAGAGCCACCCCAGGCCCCCTACAGCTTGTCTTGCCTGGCGTGGAGCTGACCCACCCTTCCCCTTCCCCCAGGCCCAGACAGCGAATCCCTCTACAGGCCTGAGCCGCCGGCAACGCGCACAGGTGAGAGGAAGCTGCGATGGGCAGGGTGCGGGAGGAGCTGGCCAGGCCACCTTGACTGACATGTGAGCCCCTGCGCCCTCAGACTGGTCCCTGAGTGACGTGGAGCAGTGGGACGCTGCAGCCCTGTCGGACGGCGTCAAGGGCTTCCTGCTGGCGCTGCCCGCGCCCCTCGTAACGCCCGAGGCCGCAGCCGAGGCGCGCCGGGCCCTGCGGGGTGAGCTGTCGGGAAGCCCAGGATGGGAAGGGGCAAAGGGTGCACGGGCGCCGTCCCTGGCTCATCCTGCCCTGGCCATTATGTCCGCAGAGGCCGCGGAGCCCGTGGGGCCGACGCTGGAGCCCCCGACGCTGCCGCTTCACCGCGCGCTCACGCTGCGCTTCCTGCTCCAGCACCTGGGCCGGGTGGCCCGGCGCGCACCCGCCCCTGGTCTCGCGGTGCGGGCCCTGAGCGCCACCTTTGGGCCGCTGGTGCTCCACGCGCCACCGCCCTCGCCGCCGCCAGGGGGCGCGCCCGACGGGTGAGCGGGCAGTGACGGAGAGGGCGAGGCCAGGAGGGGTCTAGATGACGAGAACGGTGCACAGGGTCCTGGGGAAGAGGCCAGAGCTATTGAGGGTGGAGGCTAGAATGGGTAACAAGACTGGGACTCGGCTTCCAGGAAGACTGTAGCAGAGCTTGGGCCCTGGGACAGTGGGTCCTAGACCTAAGGGGAGTCACATGGGTGGTGCCCGCACCTTCCTTTGTTGCCCTACACCAGGTGCGGGACTCCTGTTTGTCCTGTGAGCATTTATTGAACGCTTAGTGCATATATGTAAACAAGAGTTGGCCTCCAACACCTGCCTGCAGCATCTACCCTTCTTCCCTGCACATGCAAGATCATGTGCACACCAGGCCCTACCCAGTACTCACCGCACTCTCCTTCCCCTTAGGACTGAGCCCAACCCCGACTTCCCTGTACTGCTGGTGGAGAAGTTGCTTCAAGAACATCTGGAGGAACAGGAGGTGGCACCCCCAGGTGATTCCCCCCAGCCTTGATTTTTCTCTTATTGGGGGTCATGAATGCTGACTAGGGTTATCAGCAGGCTCGGTTGCAATGGGAGCCGACCACAGTATACAATGGGTGCTCAATGTGCATTTGTCTTCCTGTCCCCCAGCACTGCCGCCTAAACCCCCCAAGGCCAAGCTAGCCCCTGTAGGCCTGGCCAATGGGGGCAGTCCACCCTCCTTGCAGGATGCTGAGTGGTACTGGGGTGACATCTCCAGGTAGGGTTGATGTGTGCAGTGTGATGTGGTGGGTGGGTCCTGAAGGGCACTGGGTAGATGTCCCCAATCTTGGGTGTCCTCACAGGGAGGAGGTGAATGAGAAACTTCGGGACACACCTGATGGCACCTTTCTGGTCCGAGATGCATCCAGCAAGATCCAGGGGGAATACACGCTGACCCTCAGGTGGGGGCCTCTCCCGGAATGACTGAAGAGGTGGGAGGGAGGACATCCAGGTCAGAAGACAGTTGCATGGGGTGTGGGATATGTGCGAGTCATGGCAGGGGGTGTGGGGGTTGAGGCTGCGGGTTCTGCCAGTTGCTGATGGCTCCACCCTACTCCCACCCCTAGGAAAGGCGGGAACAACAAGCTGATCAAGGTCTTCCACCGGGACGGGCACTATGGCTTCTCAGAGCCGCTCACCTTCTGCTCAGTCGTTGACCTCATCACCCACTACCGCCATGAGTCGCTGGCCCAGTACAACGCCAAATTGGACACTCGGCTCCTTTACCCTGTGTCCAAGTACCAGCAGGTCTGGGGTTGGGGTGTGAGCCAGAGAGAGCAGCAACTGGCCAGTCCCGGGCCTCCGTTCCTTCTCTGATCACACTGGGTGTCCCTAGGACCAGATCGTCAAGGAGGACAGTGTGGAGGCAGTGGGAGCGCAACTCAAAGTCTACCACCAGCAGTACCAGGACAAGAGCCGCGAGTATGACCAGCTCTACGAGGAGTACACACGCACCTCCCAGGTATTGCAGGTCTGCCCAGATGGGGAGCCCCAGGCACGGAGAGGCAGTGGTGAGGCTGCAGGCACAGACATCTGCTCCCAGATCACAGAGCAGGCACTGAGCACCAAGACTACCCTCAAATGGTTGAAATAAATGCACATGGCTTAAAAAGAAAGAGGAGGAGGCACTAACCAGCCTCCCAGGAGCAGACCAGACCTAGGCGATGTCTCAGTTGAGCCTCTGTGGGTGTCTGAGCCTCAGTTTCCCCACCTATAAACTGGAACTGTGGCTCTTAATTACTTCTCCATCACCTTCAACCTGGATGTTATTGAAATTGCTAATATCAGTCTGACAATGGGTTGACCAACACAGAGTCACAGAGGTCAGGGGAAAAGAGCAGCATCTTTTAAAACAGGGAAGGGGGAGGTTTTATCACTCATGGACTGTGTTAAAGGACTGTGTCAATTAACTTCTGTTAAGTTGATAACGCAGCTTATTCAGATTAAACATCCCATCCCAAGCAGGAATTTCTCCTGTAGTCCCTGAGGAATTTTTTTCTTGTTTCCTTTCTTACTGATGAGTCATCTGAGTCTCAGAATGGACAAGACTCCTGTCTGGAATTGGCTAGAACACTGTGATCGTGGAAGTGACTGAAGCCCCCTGAGCCTGAGTTTCCTTATTAATAGTTCTGACTTTGTAGGAGGCTATTGGCAGGTTCTGTGAGATGGTACATGGAAAGTACTCGGTGCAACATCTACCCTGAGAAGCAACCCCATGAAACTGTAGCAACTAGATTAATCACTAATTCTCAGCAGTGCCAACAGATCCAGGTGTTTGTAAGGTACCCAAAGGAGGAACTAAAGGAAGAGTGGGTTTGGGAAGTGGGGTTTTGAAGACTGAATAGGAGTTCATTTGGCACAACGGGTGCTTACAAGAATGATGCACCTGGTGAAGGGAACAGTCTCTGAACAAAGTCTCCATATCAGACTTGTGATCTGCCTTCATCTCACCTGATGGACTTGTGGAGAGTCCCAGGAATTGCTAAGATTCACCCCCTCCTCCAGGAACTACAAATGAAGCGCACAGCAATTGAGGCCTTCAATGAGACCATCAAAATCTTCGAAGAGCAGGGTCAAACACAAGAGAAGTGTAGCAAGGAATATCTGGAGCGCTTCCGGCGTGAAGGCAATGAGAAAGAGATGCAAAGGTGAGTCTGGCGCCTCTGCCCTGCCCTACCCCACGCCAATCTGTCACAGTGCAGTGGGGAAAGAAAGGAAATAAAGAGGGCAGCCTGGGTTACGGGGGGGACAGAGTCATTTGAAATGGGCTTTGAAGGGTGAATAAAAGTTCACCAGCAAAAGACATCAGGGAAACAGCATATGCAAAGGCTTAGAGGGTGGGAGCCCTCTGATGCCTCTGAGCTACTCCTCCGACAGGATCCTGCTGAACTCAGAACGACTCAAATCTCGCATTGCGGAGATCCACGAGAGCCGCACAAAGCTGGAGCAGGAGCTGCGAGCCCAGGCCTCAGACAACCGGGAGATAGACAAGCGCATGAACAGCCTCAAGCCAGATCTGATGCAGCTGCGCAAGATTCGAGACCAGTATCTTGTGTGAGTGCCTGGCTCTGTGCTCACGTGCAGGTCTCCCACTGGTGCAAGGCACCTGGTGAGGAGATCTCTGCAGGCATCTCTCACTTTCACTACCAAGTGGCCCCACCTATCCCTCAGGACCTCTCCTCTGTCCACAAGCCGCCCCTCTCCCTCTCAATCAGGCCCCTCCTGGCCCCCTCAGAAGGGCCACCTGAGGGTCAGCCTCAACCTCATTGTTGTCTGTGAAGTGGGGACTGGGAGCCTGGGACAGAATCTACTCCATGAGTACCACCTGTGTGACCCCAGCCTGGGCTCAAACCCCACCTCTCCCGCCGACCCACTGAGGGCTTCTTCAAGGGCTTCCCCCTCCCCCTGGGCCTCCTGTGCACCTGCTGTGTGGCAGGTACCGTGCCAAGCACTGGGCACACATAAGCTCATTTTGTCCTCAAAGTCTTTTGCAAAGCTTCCCCTTTACAGCCTGAGGAAAATGAGGTACAGATGAGACAGCTGCCCTGTGTGAGGCGCATGGGCGTGCAGCCCCCTGGACTGAGCCCGTGGTAGTGGTAAGACCTTGCCGGGATGGCATGTATTGGGGTCTCAATAAGTGTTAACAGAAACAATACATAGCTGGGTTCCCTGGCAGCACCCAAGGAGCCCCAGCTGGGTTCAAGCTGTCCTTGGCCAAGCTGGCCCCTTGTGGCAATCCAGAGCATCGCACCCAGAACCAGCAACCACTAGGTCAGCCCTTGTTGACTACAGCCATGCTGCACTGGCCAGTGCGGGGGTGGCCGTCCTACCATGGAACAGCACAAGCCCACTTTTCCTCTTCCTCCCAGCTGGCTTACTCAGAAAGGCGCCCGGCAGAAGAAAATCAACGAGTGGTTGGGGATCAAAAATGAGACTGAGGAGTGAGTGATCACCTGGAGAGGGGCAGGGAGGGCTTCCCAGAAGAGGGGTCATTTTGCTGGGCTTTGCAGAATGAGTAGGAGTTCACCAGGGAGGGCGCATTGTCCAGGCAGCAGGGAGGCCTTGGCGGCTGGTGGCTGAGTGACCAGTGCGCCTCCCTGCTGCCCCCGCAGCCAGTATGCGCTGATGGAGGATGAGGACGACCTCCCCCACCACGAAGAACGCACATGGTATGTGGGCAAGATCAACCGCACACAGGCTGAGGAAATGCTGAGCGGCAAGCGGGATGGCACCTTCCTCATCCGCGAGAGCAGCCAGCGGGGCTGCTATGCCTGCTCTGTGGTGTGAGTGCCTCGCGGGGCGGCCGAGAGTGGGCTGGAGGGGGTTATCTGCGCATTCCTTCCCAGAGCTCCCATTGAGCACCTGCCCCGTGCTAGGTCTTGAGAGGACAGCTGGGAAGATGCCCCCTGGTGGCTGCCACAGTGAGAAAGGATAGTTGGGGACAGGGAAGGAAGTGGGGATAGTGCCCAGGCAAGAGATGGTGGGGTCAGGACCAGCTGGGGGATCTAGGAAATGGGAAACACAAGCTCCCGACGGGGTCAACTGGCAAGATTGGTAGGGCCAAGGTGGGAGGGCCCGGTGGGGGCCCACCTGACCTCCCCTTCACCCACCCCTGCAGGGTGGACGGCGACACCAAGCACTGTGTTATCTATCGCACGGCCACAGGCTTTGGCTTCGCGGAGCCCTACAACCTGTACGGGTCACTGAAGGAGCTGGTGCTGCACTACCAGCACGCCTCGCTGGTACAGCACAATGATGCGCTCACGGTCACCCTCGCCCATCCCGTGCGGGCCCCGGGCCCTGGGCCCCCTGCCTCTGCCCGCTGACTGCTGAGCAGGGGAACTGGCCCAGCAGAGCCGCACTGAGCCTAGAGCCTGCGGCAGCAGCTGCATTTGGGTCTCCATCTCTGTCTCTGCCTCTTCTTGTGGATTTTCTCTGACTCTTTATGGGTCTCTCCCTGGCTCTTTCTCCCTATGTCCCTCTTTGAAACCCATGTCTCTTTCCATTGGTTTCTCTTCTGTTGTGTGCCTGTCTCCATCTCTTCCCCTGAGTCTCTCTCCATCTCTCCCTGTGATTGTCTTTATCCGCATCTGTCCATCTGTTTGTCTCTCTTGGTGTCTTTCCCTCCATGTCTGTGTTGGGGGTCCCACCTCCCCAACCCCATTCCCTCCTGCTCCTTGGGCACTGCCCTACCCATGGCTCTGGCCACCCCCAACCCTGTGCCCTGCCCACCACAGGCCCCTGGGGTCCCCAAAGCCCCACCTGGCTGCACCTGCCATGTTTACAGAGGCCCCTGGGCTGTGCGGCCCCAGCCTGGGTGCCCCAATTTTTAAGCCATAGACCTGGGGTCAGGGCAGGAAGGAACTTCACTTGGCCGCTTCCAAGAACCTCAGCCGGGACATTTGGGGCTGGGCGGGCGGGACCCGCCCCACAGACCCCAACTTCCCCTCTAAAGCCTGAAGTGAAACCTGCCACAGGGTTATCCCCAGGAGGGGGCCACTACTGAGAAGCTCTGCCTAAGATAGAAAATAATTAAAAATAAACCAGTGAGCTGGCCCCATCCAGCCCCAGGCCTCTCAAGAATCGAGGCTGCTGGCACTGCAGGGGCGGCCAAGATGCACCAGTGCAAGTCCGAGGCTTCTCCCATCACGTTGGGCTCTGATTTCATTCTTCCTTGACTGTAAAGCCTTCTCTTCTCTCCTCTTTTGGAACAAGAGCCCTGGATTTTTACGCTGCCCGCCGACCCTTCCTCCTGCCTGCTCGGCTAGACTGGTGGGCAGGTTTTGTATGGTACGTTGATACTGATAATGGATATAAAACATTGAACACGGTGAATGCTTCTGTTGTCAGTGACAGGCTTCTCTGCAGCACATGTGCTGGCAGTCCTGGCATTCAGGGGGTCACACAGACCCAGGGTTTAACTCCAGGCCACCCATGCAGGCTGACGACCTACCCCCACTGCAGCCCAGTTTAGCTGCACGTGTCCAGAGTTGAGAGACCGGCCCAAGGTCACCCACAAAGGCTCAAATCCTGAGCTCTGCCCTACTCCCCACCTGCTTGCTCAAGGGACCCCAGGCCTAGGCTCAGCTCCTCACTAGTGTCCAGGCTGGCTCTGTACTGCCCACCTCATCCCCACCAGGTTTGAGTCCCTGCACTTAGTCACCAGCCATGCCTTTGGGAAAGTCACCTCCCCTCTAATGTGCTGCCTCCTCGTCAGGCAGGCAGTGGTCACAATCCCCAGGCCACCCAGAGGGGTCCCCCATGTCCTTGATACCCTCAGGGCCAATCCCTCCCCGCTTACTTTCTGGCCTCTTTTTCCACACCAGCCCCTGGCACTCAGGGGGCCTCTGGCCTGAACGCCTCCCGTTCACCATGACTCCCTTCCCAAGCTCACTGTTCCTTGTCCCTCCCCTCCCAATACACACCTGTCCTCTGGGCCTAACGTGCCCCATGGGCATGAACAGAATGCACAAAGCTGCCCTCTGAGAGCCCCCACATCTTCCTAAGCACTGTCCCCACTGTGTCTCCAGTCAGGAGGTATCCCATAAACAACTCCAACCCAGACACTGCCTCCCTGGTGGACTCCACCCATGGCATGGGTGGACATAATAAAGGTCACTTTCCCAATCCCATGAGACCAGCCAGGCAGAGCCTATAGGCAAAGGGTAACAGCCCACACGCCAGGGCCTTCACTCAGCCACCAGCTGGGTAACCTTGGGAAAGTTACCTCCGTTCTCCGATCCTGTTTCCTCTTACCAAGTGGGGTCAGTAGTTGCTACTCCTGCCCCCAGGGTGTCTCTGGAAAGTTCATCAAATGGGTGGGGTTACTGCTTATGAAATTTATCCAATAGGGCTTGTGCTGTGTAATCTCAGAAAAATTGTAGCCATTATGTTTAGTGTTATTTCTTCCTACCTGCTCACTACCGGGCAACACACACTAACTCCCCAAAGCTGTGCTGCTTGGTTTTGTGGAGGCTTCAGGAAGGAAATGGGTTTGGTGCAGAGTCCAAAGGGATGGGATGTAGTGCTCACCCAGACACGGGGACCTCAGGGAAACCCTGGCTCCCAAATCTGCTTCTGTGAGTATAGACACCAGAGCTGGACAGGCACACAGGCTGTGTTGCCAGTGATCTGTCTGTATCCAGGCCAGGTTTGGGTGTTTGCTCCCGGGGGGTTTGGTCCTGTGTCATACCTGGCATTTGGGGCCCTGCAAACTATGAATGCCTTGGGGATTCCTCCAACACCCCAGCCCCCAAGCCTTTATCCGGGCCCTTCTCTGCGCCCACACTGCTGTCCTGCGCCAGCAGCTTCCCAGGTTCACAAACCCAGCTGTGCCACTTCTACCCCCAGCGTGGGATGACTTGGCCTCTGAGCTCACCATGGTGGCTTTATTCCCCAAGCCTCACTCGGCTCCCATTTTATGGAAGGGGACTCTGAGAGGCCGTCAGCTGAGGTGCCCAGGACAAACCTGAATCTGGCTGCCTGGTGGCTTTGGGTCCTACACCACCAACCCTCCACCACCATCAATGTACCCCTACACCTGGGGCTTCCTTCCCCCAGCGGGAATACCCCGAGGGCTGGCATGCCGGCATGCCCCCCTCTTCAAGCCTTGGAGGATGAAAAGAAGTAACACCAGCCTCCTGTGCCCAAACCCCAGCTGGAGTGGGGCAGGGGTGGGGGCGTGAGGGTGGCCAGAGAAGGGAGGGGCCCCTTTCTGGCCCAGCTGTGATCAAGCCTGCGTCAGCGCAGTGGGACTGGCTGGTGGGTCTGGAGCATTGGGCTGGGAGGCCTCACCCTGGAAGGGGCCAGGGACATGTTCTATGAATTGTAAATGAGGTGCTTTCCTGGGCCAGGCAATGGATGGCCCCCATCCCAGGGCACAGGAGGGCTCCCTGGCCTAGAGACAGGAGGCTGGATCACCCTGGCAGCTCCCAGAGGGGTCACCTGGCGTGTGGAGACCCTCCCCTTAAGTGTCTCTGTGTCCGTCTCTGAATCCCTCCCCTCCCCTCCTCTCCAGGCGCGCTCGGCCTGGCCTCACGTGCCCCAGAGGTGGGGGAGATCCGAGGGTGGCCGCTTCACTGGGGACCTAGCACCTGGGAAAAGATGACCCAGAGGGAGAAACAACGAGGACTAGTCAGCCGCCGCAGAGCCCGGGAGGCGTGGGCGCCCGGAGGCGGGTCCCGCTCGGAGGCTGGGCCACCGCCCAGTTAAAGGCGGCTCCTTCCCCGGGCTGCTGCTCCCGCCGCCGCATCTTCGCCGCCGCCGTGATGGCCTGGCCGCCACTCGTGCTGCTCCTGCCTCTGCTGCTGCTGGAAGTCCCCGCGGCGGGGCGGGCGTCCCCGCTGGAAATGCGCCCCGAGGGGGCGGCCGCCTGCCAGGTAGGGGCGGCGGCGCGGCTCGCAGGCCCGCGGGAGCCCGGGCTCGGGCTCGGGGGCGGTGGGCGGGCGGCCCCCACCCTCCGTCCACACGGCGCCGGGGAAGGCCGGGTTCCTGACGACGCTGACCTGGGCGATACCAAAAGCGCCCCTAGTTAATGGCCCGGCAGTGCGGCCACGCGCGGAGTCGTTGCGTTTCGCGGTCTTGCCTCTGGGACGCGCAGCTGTCCCTCACCCCAGCCCCGCCCGCCCCGCAACAGGGTGCACGGGACACCCACTGTGTACATCTGGAGCGGGAATGGGGGCTCCTCTCGCAGGGCGAGCCCAGATAAGCTTGCCGGTGGCGCACTCACTAGGTGCTGCTTACTGGGTGCCTTTCGGCCAGGGAAGAGCTCCCGAGTTTCTGGCGCAGAGCAAGCAGATGCCCCTGAGGCTGAGCGACTTGTTCACAACGTCCCGTGCTTTCCCCCAATATTAGGCGCCGCCTCAGCGGTAGAACTTGGGAGAAGTTCACGCGGGCTGGTTGAGAAAAATGAAGAGTCGGCTTGAGTGTAGGGCCTTGCTCAGCCCAGGGCTACGGCTCTGGGGATGAAGTGGCAGCAGTGAGCATGCATTAGCCCCCTGTGGTATGCGCCTCTGAGAACGGAGGATTGAGAGCAGTGACCAGAATGTGCGTGCCTTGAATCCTTACTGCATGCAGTTCCCCTGAGCTAGGGGTTTCACCTCACCTGGAGGAAAGCAAGAATCACGTGCATGAATTAAGTGCCTACTGTTGTGCAAGTCTCTTGTCAAATCTATTCTGCAGACAAACTGAGATTTAGGGAGATTTTAGGATGCTGTAAAGTCTCAGAGGCAGGATTCCACCAAGCGTGGTCTGAGAGCAGAGCAAGATGGAGCACCTACTGTTCGTAGCTCCTTTCTGCAAGAGAACCAGGCAGAGCTTTACACCTTCACATCCCTTCCTCCCTCCCTCACAGGCGGGTCAGATGTGCCTGCCGCGGTCCCTTAGGAAGTCTGACGCCCCGCTTGTCAACGTGAGCCTCTACTATGAGTCGCTGTGTTCTGGCTGCCGGTACTTCCTGGTCAGAGAGCTCTTCCCGACGTGGCTGATGGTCCTGGAGATTCTCAATGTCACACTGGTGCCTTATGGAAATGCCCAGGTACAAGGGCACCAGGGAAACTGAGGCATGCAGCCCGGGAGGGGGGCACCCCACGGGCCAGCCAGTGCTCACCTTGCTGCCTTACAGGAACAAAACATCAGTGGCAGGTGGGAGTTCACGTGCCAGCATGGTGAGCTGGAGTGCAAACTCAACAAGATGGAGGTGAGCGGCCCCATGAGTTCCCAAGCCAGGGGCACAGAGGCCGGGAGACTGCCTGAGGCAGAAGGCAAAGCGAGGCTCAGAGGGCACTGCAGCCAGCTCCGCCCGCTGCCTGTGTGCCTCCATTTAATTAATCCTTCACTCACTGCTTAGTGGTCTTGGGGTGCTCTGGGCCCACCTCACACTCCTGCCTGCCTACCTACCTCCCCCAACCCCAGGCCTGCCTTTTGGACCAGCTAAAGCCAAAAGCGGCCTTCCTGGCTGTTGTCTGCTTGGAGGGAATGGATGACATGGAGAAAAATCTGAAGCCGGTGAGCAACACCCCTCTCTTGGTCTGGCTTGGGGGACCCTGGCCTTCCCTGCACCCAGACACACCCAAGTTCAAGTTCTGTCCCTGACAGCCACATTCTGTGCAACCCCAGGAGAACAGCGGCCTCTCCTCTCAAAACTTCAATCTCTGAGTCAAAGGAACAAAGATCAGGGTTTCCTGGAGGAGGTGCTTCAGAGCTGGATTTGTTTGAACAAGAAATATGAGGGACACAGATGATGATCCTCACCTGGGGTATAGGGATGACAGGACAGGCCCACCTACGTCCCTGGAGGATTGCAAAAACTCCCAAAGGGATGATTCATCTGCCCTGGTTGTTTATTCATTCATCAAACATCTGGCCTTCCCAAGAGGCCTTGCTGAGACAACTTCAACCCTGAAGAGTCAAAGTGGGCCCAACCAGAGGAGTGCAGAGGAGGAGGATGCACTCAGGAGATTCTGGGGAAGGAGGAGGAAGGGTGTTACTGGTGGAGGGAACAACATGGATGGAAGCTCTGAGGAAAATGAGACACTGCAGGGGACAGGGGCTGTGGGTCTGGTGTTATGGGAAGTAGAACATAGAACAGCCTGAGCCCTCCACTCAGGCAAATATTAAGTGCCTGATGTTTATGGGTATAGTTGCATTGCTGTCCTAACTGTCCCTGTTGCCAGTGAGGAAACAGAAGCTTGGCTTGGGGGGCTGGAGGCGGGACCGTTGGGGAGATAACAGGGAGGAAGCTGAGGCAATGCCCCAGCTTAACAGCACCCCCTTCCACCCTCAGTGCCTGCAGCTCTACGCCCCAAAGGTGTCCCCGGACACCATCATGGAGTGCACAATGGGGGACCGTGGCATGCAACTCATGCATGCCAATGCCCAGCTTACAAACGATCTACAGCCGCCCCACAAATATGTGCCCTGGGTCGTTGTCAATGGGGTAAGAACTCTTGCCTCCTGCTTCCAGGCAAGGACCAGGGTGATGGATGTGCCCACCAGTCTGGGAGGTGGGAGGCAGGGGCCATACTCAGCATCCTTTGTGGCCCCTTCTGGGGCAGGCATGGGTTGGTTGAGTCCCCAGGCAAGGTCCCAGCTCTGTCCTCTGGCTCAACCCCTCTCACCCAGTGTGGGATCAGCAGAAGAGGGCAGCTAGGGGTGTTTGTTGAATTAATGAATTCATCTGCTGTCTCATGTACTCCCAGTCACCCTTCAAAACCCCAGCCCCAGTGCTCCTCTCCCCTGTACAGAGCGTGCCTTCTGCCTTCCGGGCTCCTCCAGCCTGGGCGCCTCCCTCTGGCCCATCTCTGCATGACTGTATTGTATGACTTCCTGTCTTGCTCTGTGCAGAAACCCTTGAGAGATCTGAGCCAGCTCCTAAGCCTTGTCTGCCGGTTGTACCAGGTAAATTGGATGGGGAACAGAGAGATTCAGCCAATGGGGAAGGGTCTCCTTTCAGGAACTCATGGTCCTCTCCTCCAGGGTGAGAAGCCAGAAGTCTGCCAACACCTGGCCAGCTCCCAGAGGGAAGTCCGTTTCAAGTGAGGCCGGTGCCCTGGAGGAAGCTGATGGAAGAAGAGCAAGAGTTCACCACCCTTATTCTTTTGATCACTGACCCTCAGCAGCTTCTGCTCATTGTCCAGGCAAACTCAACACATTCCATGAAGCCCACACTCAAAATTCAGCCCCAAGATCAAGAATCTTGCCCCAATGAGAACGGTGCTATGTTGAAACCAGTTTAATAAACACTTCTGAATGTTGTGATTCATTTGATAAGTTGGCAAATCCCCTTCTTCTGGACCTCCACAATATTGGGACCCTTGAGAAATTCCCTGTCTGGGAAACGCAGAGCCAAATAGACATCCCTAGTTCCATGAGGGGCACAGATGGGCCAGAGGGGGCAAGAGGGCTGGGGATGCCCAGAGGGGGAGTGAGTAGGTGAGATGGGCCATGGGGCTGGGGTTTTGAAGAGTGACTAGGCATACATTAGGCAGCAGGTGTATTCATGAATTCAATGAACATCCCTAGCTACCGTCTTTTGCTGACCACTCTGGGTGACATAGGTTGAGCCAAGACCTTGCGTGGGGAGTTTAAAGAAGGTGTTCCCTGCGGGGTGGAAAGGAGAGGTCATGGTGTTCCAGGAAAGGGGAACACGGTGTACAAAGGCCTGGCCAACAGCAAAATCTGGAACTAGAATGCCAGGCTGAGGCATCTGAGAACAATGGTGTGTTGTAGATTAATTTTCAACAAAGGAGAAATCTTGATTCTCCTACTGATGTAAGAGGAATACATGTTAAAGATTTCAGTCATTCATGAATAATGAAAATGGCCAGATGTTCAAAGGAGAATCCGAAGAACAGGCAGATTTAAAAATGAGTAATGATGAAATGACTACGCAAATAGAAGCCTGACTTTTCCGCTCGGTCACAAAGCTGACTGGAGGCGGCGGTCCCTTTTTTTACTCCCAGCTTTATGTATTTTTAAAATTTTAACAATAGATTTGATTTGCCCTGATAGATATATCTAATACATTATCATTTCAATATGGAATCTATATGGGAAACCTTTACATTATTTAAGTTATTTTTTCTATGCGAAGTCTTAACTGGTATGCAGTTTACACTTACATGGCATCTCAACTCAGATTAACTACATTTCAAGTGCTCAATAGCCACGTGGGTTACTGATGACAGTTAGAGGGAAGAAAAAACTATTTTCCCTCTACACTCCAGTTTCTATGACTGAGACTCCCTGTAATAAAAGACAGATTAAAAGAAAAACAACATAATCTTCACAATAGATGTACTTTACGTATTCATGGGGAGATACCCAGGAAAACTGAGTAAAACCACAGAATGGCCCAAGCCATTATATGTTAAAGATTTAACAAGCCTTAAATACCATCTTAAGCCAAAGACAAAAGAAAGATGGTCCCTGAGCTTTACTGAGGTGTAATTGACAAAGTTGTACATATTTAAGGTGTGCAATGGATTTGCTATATGTATGTATTGCAAAATGATTACATTCATTCATTTATCCCTTCATAAAATTACCTTTCTTTGTGTATGATGAGAACAATTAGGGTCTATTCTCTTAGCAACTTTCAAGTATATGATACAGTATTGCTAACTAAAGTGACCATACTGCTTACTTATCTTACAAGGGAAGTTTGTACCCTCTGGCCAATGTCTTCCCCTTTCCCCCGTTCCCAGCCCCTGGCAACCACCATTCTGTTTCTATGACTTTGACTTTTTTGGATTCCACATACAGGTGGAATCATGCAGTATTTGTCTTTAACCATCTGTCTTGCTTCACTTTGCATAATGCCATCTAGGTCCACCCATGTTGTCACAATGGCAGGATTTCCTTGTTCTTCTATGCCTGGATAATATTTGAGCCGTCTTATTTTGTTAAAAATAGTCTCACAGAAAGATCTTGCTTGGAAGGTATTATTGGATCTGCCCTGATTATTTACACAGGTGCAGCAGGATCTCAGTTTGCTTCACTGGAAGTTTCTGTAAAGAATCTCAAGTTGGACTCTTAAAAGCCATGATCACTTGCTAACTGGAGAAAAGGAACTCCACTAGTTTCACCTGTAGTATCTATGCCTTTTTGTGAAGTCCTCTCTTTTCGATGTTCCCCAAATATCGCAAGGATCTGGGTTGTCCGTACTGACCTGTAAGGCTGACTCTGCAAGCCAGGGACAACCCAGCTGTCCTGTGAGGGCCTCTAAGCATTGCCTCCCCCAGAAGTCAAGCTTCGTTTCTTTGAAACGGGCAGGTCACTATATGCAAATTATGTCTCTTCCGGGGGGTGGGGCTTCATGCTGCCACCTCACCCCATTTCGAGACTAAACTGGATTTTGTTACTCAATTACAAAGAATGAAGTAGGGAAAGTGAGAAATAGCAACTTGAAGGCAGTGTAGAGACATCTAGCTGATGTCACTTTAACTATGTGACCCAGATTAGCATTACCCATGGTAAATAATGTACACGTCACATGCCCCTAATAGGATGCAACCGGGGCGTACAACCTCTGTGGGAGTCTATCCAAATTCCCAGCACCTCAAGTCTAATGAGAAAACATCACTCATACCCAGATCGAAGGACATTGTACCCAGTACCTGACCAATATTCTTCAAAAGAGAAAAAGAAGGAAAAACTGAGAAAGTGTCAAAGGCCAGAGGAGGCTAATTTACTGGGATCCTGGCCAAGTTAACACTTTAATGAACAACTGGACTTATTCAGCATCACACTGTACTGTTGCTGACTAACATTGCACCTTCAGGAATGTGATTAACAGACATGTATCGCAGACACTGAGGGCATTGACCAATCTCCCTCTGGATGGACTGATTAGGATAATTATGTCTGCAGAACCCTTTCTGGAATATAACATAATATTTGCATTATGTCATATTCCCAAGTTCTACTTACCTTCAAGGAGGGTGTACAGGTGTGCAGGCATACAAGTATATGGGTGTGCAGGTGTGCCAGTGTGCAGGTGTGCAGGTATATACAGGTGTGCACCTGAAACAGTCTAGGGACCATCTTAGAATCCTGCCTAGCATATACCTCCTGATGTAGAAAAATACAACACACACAGTGAGAAGTAAAAACCTCTCTAAATTACAAATTCACATACAGAGAGCAATTATGGCTTCAGTTATAAAATGTCAGCCATGGGCCAAGAGGAAACACAGAGTAGGGGAGGTAAAAATTTAGCATTTGATTTTGGGGTTTTGTCAAAAATCTTAAAGGCTTGAACACTTGATTAATAGGATCAGAGACTACTATGAAATAATCCTTGGTTACCTACATAAGCAAAGTGACAATGAAAGTTTTAAAGGCAAACATGGTATGTCGTGCAGTTGGGAAGTTCTCTTTTATTGTTGAGAAGACTCAATTTTCCTAAGTAATCAAAGACCTCATAGTGTTGGATTCCCCTGAGGAAGGCGCCGCCCCAAATCACTCACCAAAGACGTTTCTTGATGCAACAAGCAAGAGGAATTTATTCGGAAGCCAACTAGTTGGGGTCCAAGTCAGCCTGTCGCAGCAGGTCTCAACGAGGACCCTGAGTACTTACAACTAAGTGGTTATATAGGATTTTCTGAGGCATTCAGCCCTAGAGA